GAGGCAGGAGGTGGAGGGAGGGGGTGAGGGGCGAGAGGCGGAGGGAGGGGCAAGAGGTGGAGGGAGGGGTGGGGCGAGAGGCGGGGGGGGGGGGCAAGAGGTAAAGGGAGAGGTGGGGCCGGGAACGGGAGGCGGAGGGAGGGGCGAGGGTGGAAGGCAGTAGAAGGGGTGGGGTAGGGGTAGGAGGCACAGGGAGAGGCAGGGGCATCCTCAGGGGCTGCCGCATCTGCCCTTGCAGAGGCTCAGACATGCAGTGGGAAGCAAGGTCGTGGGGCAGAGGCCACACAGGTGCCCCTTCCAGCCCCAGCAATGCTCAGCCCAGGCCCATCCTGACCCACTCTGCCTGGGCTGACCAGGGGCCTGTCGGAGGAGCGGATGTGGGCAGCAGAGGACCCCTGGGGGTGAGTGGAGCCTCAGGCTGCCCTGGGCCCCTCTACTGTCCCCTCTTCCAGGGGCCTAAGGCAGTGGGGGAGGTTACACTGGAGTGCTCACCCACCCTGGTGCTGCCTCACTCCTCACTCCCTGCCCTGCTAGAAAGCTCACCTCACTCCCACCTTGGTTCCAAGAGGTGGAGCGGGTGCCAAGTCACACAGCACTGGCACAGGCTGGGTGACCATCAGGTGAGAGTCACCAGACGCAAACCCCGAGACCGACCATTCCTCCCCCCACTCCTGCACTGTGGGGAGTGGCTGCAGGGGCAGGCCTGGTGATTCTCAGGCCCTGTCAGGGTGCTCTCCAAGGAAAAACTCCCAGATCATCCCCGGCCCGGTGGGGGCAGTTCCAGCTACTCTGGGGGCCAACGCGGGAGGATCGCTGGAGCCCAGGAATTGAAGGCCAGCCTGGGCAACATAGCATAACTCAAGCTCAGTTAAAAGATTTATAATTAAAAAGGTCACCCACAGACCCACAAGTGTCTGAGGGCTCCGCTACCATGTGGGTGTGGATTGTGGCCAGTTGGAAGCGCCCCACCTGTCTTCCCAACATCCTGAGCTGGTCCAGAGGCCTCAGGCCTTTAGCATCTGTGCATCCAGGTGTGGGTCAGGGCATACACGCTCAAGCCTGTGCATGTGGCGATGAGAGATGGGTGCGATGAATGTGCACACGTGTGTATGCGTGTACCGGGTGCACATGAACAGGTTCCTGTGCTGTGCATGAGTATCGAGCCTGCAGGAGGGTGTGGTGTGCATGGAAGGGCACACACATGAGCATTATGCACTGCTCTGTGGATAGGCATGTGCCTGGACATGTGTGCCCCCATGGCTGCGGGCTCCGTGCTCACTCTGGTTGGCCGACTCTAGCTCAGCAGCCAGCAGCCACGTGGCCCTCGGGTCCTGCCCTGCCCTCCCCTGCGGCATTAGGGCAAAGGTGACTTGGACTTGGGGCAGGGCAGGAAGCTGCCCAGGAAAGCTGAGTGGCTGCCTGAATGGGCAGAACCCACCCACTATGCCCCACCTGAAATTGGGCTGGACACTGGTGCTTCCTGCCCCCTCGCCCTGAGCAGTGTGTGCTCAGCTGGGGGGTAAACAGAAGGTCCTGGCCCTTGGTCCCACAAATTTCCCAGTACACGATACCAAATGCCATCCCAGTCCAGGAGTCCAGAACACTCCAAGGCTGCCCGGGCACACACTCACATGCAGATGTGCTCAGCCCCCATGGAGGGCCAGCTCCTGGCTGGTACACGCCCAGCACAGCCACAGCAGGGGCACATGAGGCGTCCTGGGGACTGCAGGAGGCTGGGGAAGTTGGGGTATCCCTGGCAGAGACCACAACAGCCGGCTGCCAGTCACACTCCCAGCCTGAAGATCTTGCCACATCTGGGGACAACCCCCAGCCTCGGGAGAACCTCCAGGGCCCAGTCCCTCCAGTGTTAGCAGAGGATCCCCAGGACCCAGCTCTGCTCACCCCAAGGTTCTTGGGTTTCCTTGGCCCTGTGCCCCTTCCCAGCATGGCCAACTGCTCTCCTCTGCCCTTGCAGAGCCTCAGACATGTGGGAGGCTGGGAGTGGGGAGAGAGACCATGCAGGTATCCCCCTACCACCTGCCAGTGGGACCACTCCCCAAGACACCAGAGGGAGAGAAGCCGCCCAGGCCAGCAGCTGGGGGCGCCAGGCCCCAGAAAAAAACATCAGCCAGCCTCCATGTGGACATGCTGCCACAGCTGGGGCCACTGTCTCTGCAGTCCCTACTCCCCTGCCACCCTTGAGGCCCTGCCTCTGCTCTTGACAGCTCTGGGAAGATGCTCACCTGCCTCAAATACTCAGCCTAGGCAGGCAGCTCAGGCCAGTGGGGAGGGGAGTGTCTGGCTCATCCACCACACTGGGAGCAGCAGCTGGGCTGGACCTGTCCCCAACCTCACTCCAAGCCACAGGGTCAGGCTCTAGGTGCCCACCTAGCATGAGGCAGCCAGTTGCGGAGGGGTGCTGGTCACAACCCTCGCTCACCTCTTCCCCCACTCAGCACTAGACAGAGCTGCGCATCACCCACTGTCAGCTGGGTTGGGCACAGGATCCACTCCATCACTCAGTCTTCTGCAAAGCACCTCCGCTCAGCAAGGCCTGGGGATGACCAGTGCCCCTGCAGGGACTCGAGGAAGCCAAGGTCAGGGACGCAGATGCCCAGCCTGTCCCTCCCCTGGCCAGTGTGCCCACCAACACAGTCAGGCCTCGGGCACATGGGCAGGCATGGGCATCCCTCTGCTTGGGGCACAGGGATTGCGGGGTGTGGCCCAGCTTGTTCTCTGGGTCAGGGAGTGAGGTCACTGGGCAGACCTCCCAAGGGACAAGAGGTGAAGGGTCAGATTTCATGCCCCACTTTCCAACTCTGTGGCTTTAGGGGATCCCCTGGGGGCCCTCCCCACTCCAGCTCCATGGGCTGCACAGGAGCCATCCTGGCACCAAACAGCTGGACCAGAAGAACAGCACTCAGGGCCAAGCCTCGGGCCTGACCTCACCCTGAGCCCACAGACCCACCCCTTGCCCTGGGGAGCTGTGCAGACCACTTCCCCCGGGCACCCCCAAAGGTGGACACACACTCTGACAAAGCCCTGGAACCCCAGGGTCACAGCACCGAACTGGCTACTCTCCAGTCCTGTCTGGCCTGTAACCTGGTATCCACAGGATGGTGGCGGCCACCAAACACCAGGTCCCTACGCCAGCTGCTAAGAGCCTTGGACAGCCCCACTCTGAGCAGGCAGCAGGAGGCAGCAGTGGCCATCAGGGCTGGGGTGTGCCCGCCTGGCAGGCCCAGCCCGGAAGGCAGCATTCAGGGGGACAACTGGCAAACTGAGCTGAACCGGGCTCCCCCTTCCCTGAGGCTGCAATGTGGTCTGGCCGTGGCACTGGAGAAGCCACCCAAGGTGTTGCTGGGCAGACTGGCATGCCCCGAGCAGATGCAAGCTCATAGCTGGCCATGCACCGCTCCCAGCCTGCCATCCTCTTGGCTGGGAGATGTGGTCCCCAAGCCACCTACAGGACAGAGGGGTACAGATCCCAATGTACTGCCTGGGCTGCCACCTCGCGGCAGGGAAGGCCCAAACACGGGGCTCAGGTCAGCACCCAAAGGCACCCGGACACTGGCTGTCCACTCCTGGGCTGCAGCACCTCGGCCACCCAACTGTTCATGTGGCACTGGTCCTCACAGCTCCAGGACCCGGATGCTGCATTCCTCACCCCACCTTCTCTGGGGAGTCTTCTCCCCACTAGCCCCGAGATGTCCCACCTCCCTTCCAGCCACTGTGGAGCTTGACTCTGGCACACTGGTCACCACCTGGCCCCTTAGCCCATACCCGAGCCGTCCCCCCCAGTGCCCAGTCCGAGCCCCACCCCACTCACACTTCCCAGTGTGATAACCCCTCCCCCTTCCATCCCCAGAACGTGGACAGCCACTGCCTCCCGGGCCTCCCCTTCCCCTCGTCCTCACCTCCCACCCACCTCTCCACCCCTCCCTCTCCCAGCCTCAGGAAGGCCTTTCAGCTAGCATCCTAAATCACCTGTGTGCCAAGCCACTTTTGAACACACAGCTTGGAAATCCTTTCTTTCCCAGCCTCCCAAGTGGAGGTGTTCAGCCAGGGCCATCTGTCCTGAAAAACCCCCTCCAACACCCAACTGCTCCTAAAGCAGCTCTCCCTGGGAAGGGGGTTCACTCCTTCCTGAGGAGCTGTGGCCCTCCTCTGCCCGGGGCCCCAAAGCCAGGCAACCACCACCACCCAGCACCCAGGCCGAGGGGTGGATCCTGCACACAGAGCACTGCCCACCTTGCCTGGGCCCCTCAGCCACACACCACCTTGCCTGGGCCCCTCAGCCACACACCTGGTCTCCGCAAATAGGATCCAGTGGCACGTTTCACCTACCTCCCAATCCAACCCACTTCCAACAGAACACCCACTCCATGCCACCCGGCTGTCATCTCTGGCCTGGCCCAGTAGCATCTGCCAGGCCGGGAGCCCCTCCGCCTGATCCTCAGGCTCCTCTAACAGCACCCTCTCCAGGCCCCCCCACCCTGCAGCCCCACGGCCCACCTGCACCTCCCTCAGGGCCTGTGGGTGGCAGCTGTCTCCCAGGCCCACCCACCCTAGCCCAGTGAAGCTTCCTGTCACCCCAGCCTCAGTGATGCCCCTGTGGGCTGGTCCTGCAGCTTCCCCTTCTTCACAGCACTCACCACCCAGTGTCACACTGCGCTGGGGGTCCACGCGGGGATTTTCCACACAGTCCCCCGTGGCATACCCATGTCCAGCCCACGTCCAGCCCAGGCCAATACACACCCACTTACAGCTGCTGCAGTCAGGGTGACCTACAGACCCCACACCCCTCACTCAGGGCAGCCTCTGGGCCTCAGGGGCTAATATCCATGCCAAGCCGGGTGGCCAACAGCCCCAGCTCTTGACTTGAGACACGGGTTGGGCTGCAAAGCACTGGCTCCAGCCTGGTGCTATGTGGCCCCTGCTATACCCAACCAGACAGCTGGACACAGATGGCAACATGGAATCAGACAAGCCTCAGGCGATTTCTGTCAAGTAACACGTTTTCTGCTTTACTAAATCTAGTCTTCTCCTGAGCCATTAAGACACTCTGGCAGGAACCAGGCTGGCTGCTGAGCTCTGGGCAAGGGTAGGGGGTCTAGCCTGCTTCGGGCCAAGTGAAGGCAGGATACACAGCCCATTCCATGCGGAGCCTGAGGCCCCCGGGGGTCAGTGCAGCACAGCTCTGCCTCAAGGCCACCCTCTCCTAGGGGCACAGGGTGAAGCCCCCTCCTCAGTCATATTCAGAAGGTCCCAGAGCTGAGACCTCCTATGGGTGGTACTGGGGCCTTTACATGAGAAGACCTGGCGCTGGGAGGCTCTCAGGCCTCCACTTGCCCCCCTCCTGGATGGGGGGGACCTGATCCAGCTCCAACAGGGAACGCCACTGCTTTCTGGACAGCTCTGGCTCTGTCCACAGGGCACCCCCAGCGCCAGGACACTATGCAGGCTGCGCCCGCACCACCTGCAGAGCTATGCACAGGGCAGCCGGGACACCGGTCTCAGCTGTGGAGCACTCAGCTCACCTGCTGGCAGCTGCGGGGCTCCCGGGCACACAACTCAGGTGGGCCTGGAGCAGGGTCTGACCCCCTTTTCTGTCCTCCATGCTTCTCTGGGCGGTGCAGGCAGTAGGGAGGGGAGAGGGCCTGAAGAAGGCAGGGTGGGGTGTCTGCCTCGGAGGAGGCCGGGATCTGGATGCAGGGCCACAGCTGGAGGCAAAGGACCTTCAGACAACGTGGCCGGGGAGAGCTACCGCCTCTCAAGTGCTAAACCTTCAGCTCCCACTGCCGTGCTGGACACAGCAGGGCTCCAGCTTCCTCTCTGGCAGAGGGCGCTGGCGCAGTGTTGCTCGGGAGGGGACAGTGCGGAGGGTGGGCTTGGGGGCTCCAGAGCAGCTCCTGAGTTGCAGTCAGCACACGCAGCCCTCCACACGCACCTGGACCAGCGGTGGGGCTGCTTGGCTGTTTCCTTACAGTAGCAATGCCACAGTGCCAGCCTTCGAGGATCCTTGGGGGAGTCGATGGCAGGCAGCAGGACCCAGCTCTGGGAACGCCCAGCCCACAGTTGAACAGACACACGCAGACACTTGGTCGGGTTCCCCTTGCCAGAGAGAAACACCATCCCAATGGAGAGGTCCACGTGGGACGAGGGCCACGGGGCAGGCGCCACCTGTCACCAGGAATCTCGGCACTAGAGCCTGCCTGCTGTGGCCCTGGAGGTCCACCTGACGCGGAGGAGACCCGAGAGGTCACCCAGGACGCCACCTGCCTGGAGGCTGCGCTTCAGTAGCCGTCGTCCTCGTCGACGTCACAGCCGTAGTCTGCAGAAGAGCGCAGACATGAAGCCAAGGGTCTCTTAAGGACCAGGAGCCCAGCCCCACCCCCACTGTTCCTGGCACCCTCCGGGAGGCTCCAGCTCCAGCCCAGCCCCACCCGCCTTGGCTCCTGTGCCCTGTCAGCGCCATCTTGGGCTCCTCTCTGTCTCCCGGGACTGGCACCCAGAGCAGGGCCTGGCTCCTCATGGAGGGCACCTGAGAGCAGCATGGGCCCCTCGGCCTCCCTCCCTGGGCGTGCAGGTCTGTGGCCATGTGTGCAACCCAAGAACCCCATGCTGCTGGCTGTGCGGCCCTCATGGCAGGTACCTCACCGTCCCTAACCTGTCTGACCCTGGCTGGCTCCAACCTTACAACTGACATGACCAATTTAGAGTGTCTTAGCTCAAACTTCTTTCCAGAGAAATAGAAATTCAGTGTGAAGTTAACGGGCCTGAGTCCAGGGAGGATGACGGGCAGCGGCCGACGCCTCGGCTTCCCTGGGGCCCTCCCTGCCGTGGGGGCACACCCACCATCGCCGCCCATCATCTGCAGGGCGCTGACGCACAGTTCTCCGTCCTCCTCGTCGGGTTCCTCCTCCTCAGCCTCCTCATCAGCGTGGTACGACACGGGTCCGCTCTCCACCAGGACTGCCTGGGGCCTGGCAGGCTCAGCTCCAAGGGCGGGGGAGCTCGGGAGCAAACCCTAGAAAGAAGCAGGGCTCTGACACACACAGAGCAGGGCTGCCCTCCCCGGCCCCTGGACCCTGGAGGGAGGACTTCCACTCAGCAGACCCCTCACAACCCCAAGGGTGGGCCAGGGCGCTCAGCCACTCCTGCCACTTAAGTGGGTCCCAGGGTTGGCCAGGGCTCCCAGGCCCACTGGCCACTTCTGGCCTCCTGGGGGCTGCACCATGAGCTGTGCCAGCATCAAGATCCCACCCTCAGGCCTCTGCCAGCCCCTCCTCCTATACCCCCAGGGCCCCACGGCAGTGCTGGGGAGACACCTTTCCAGACGACTGTAGGCCAATGTCCTCAGCCTCAGCACCCAGGGGTGGGACCCCAGGACATAGCACTCCAGAAAGGCTGCTGCTCCAGCCCCGCCCCACCGTCCCAGCCCCGGCCATTGGCCGGCACCTTCAGCTGCACCAGGACCCTCCCTGCTGCTCCCTGGTTTCCTGGGCCAGACCAGGCCCCAACAACAAGTGACAGCCCAGGCAAAAAAAACCCTGAGCCCTGAGGGCCAGGCACTGTGACCCAGCAGCACCTGCTTCCCACTCACAGGCTCCACGCAGGCACCAGGCCCCCTCGGCCAAGCGCTGAGCAGCAGGCACGCAATGGTCCCCACCTTCCTTGGGCCCCGATTCTCTGCCCACACCAGGCCAGTGTGGGGCAGCAGGGGCGGGTGCTGTCCCTGGGCTCACAGACCAAGCATCTAGGCCCAGGAAGGAACGGGTGGGCTGCCTCCCGAGGACCCCCCGTCCCTGGCTACGGGGACAACGCACCTCTCCAGTGGCTGCCTTCTTTGCTGGCTGTGTAGACACCAGAGGCCTCAACCTGCAAAAGGAAGCAGAGTGCAGCGGCCTCAGCCCTCGCCCCCACACCCATCCAGCCGGCCCACTCTCGTCCGTCTTCACTCTCCAGCGCTAACCAACCTTCTCTCGTTCCCTCTGGATGTCTGGGTCTGTGGCAGCCTCTGTGCGCTCCGTCAGTGCTCACCGAACAGCAGCACAGCACTGACCCACTCATTCTTGATGGGGGCACACGACGCAGACACAGAGGCCGCAGACGCCCCTCCCAGCCCACCTCCTTCCAACAGTGCACAAGCCCCCAAGGAGCTGCCCTGGTGCCCCATCTCACCCAGGGAGTGGAGAGGATGAAGGGGGCACTCTAAGACCTGAGTCTGCTCCCCCAACCCCGCCAGGCCCAGGGCACTCCCTATTTCTGCTGATAATACCCTGCACAGGCCCCTCACCAGCCTGCCACACACAGGCCAAAGGTGCCTTCTACATGCCAGTCTTCTTAGAGACTGCTGGAGCCCCCAGGAAGACGGGACCCCAAGGGAGAGAACACAGGCATCCCTCTGAACCCATGGCATGGCCACACAGGGCTGTCGGGTGGGCAACGAGAGGCCTCAAGGCCTGTGGAAAGAATGCAGAGGGGCAGAGCCCTTCCCTCTGGCACAGCTGTGTGGGAAGATGGTGGGGGCTGAGGCCTGGCCCTGCCCTGCTGTGACTGGTCAGATGAATCCTCAGGACACTGGGAATGGTCCCCGTGACAGGTGGACATTCGCAAAACACAGCAACGGATCTCCGTGCAGGGTGAAGCTGACAGCAGGTGTGGGCCGGGCTGAGGCCCCAGACTCCCCGTGAGGCTCCCCAGAAGCCTCAGCTGCTCCGCTCCTCCCCACAGTCTGCAGGCAGCAGGAGCCTGAGCGGCCCCCCTTGGTGGTCTCTGTGCACTCCATCAGTGCTCACCGCGCTGATGCCCTCCCTGCCCCCACCCCAGGCCCACTGTGCAGTGGAGCCGGGGCCTCTGGGGATGGAGGCCAGCCCTTGGGCAGAGCTTCTCAGCAGGCTGATCTTCAGGAGTCACCGGTGTCACCGGTCTCTCCCACCACGCAGGCCCAGCGGTTGGGTCGGAAGCCTGATCTTGGTGCAGGGGACTAAGCCACCAGCAGACTCATGCTCTGGAAGGTCAAGCCAGCAGGCCCTGTTTGAGGACGCCCTGAGACTCTGCCAGCCCAAGGAGATAACTTTTTTTTTTTCAGATGGAGTCTCACTCCGTCACCAGGTTGGAGTGCAGTATCACGATCTCAGCTCATTGCAATGTCCAGAAAAGGCAATTTCTCTGGTTTCAGCAGACCGTGCCTTGACCAGAGAGAAGCAGATGCTGGCGGGCAGGAACATGGGGCCACAGGGAGAGCAGTGCTGTCAGGAGGGTGGGCTTTCTGTAGGGACACACTCTCCCTCCCCCACCTGGCACTAGGGACATGCCAAGATTGAAGCCACAGGGTCCTGAAGCACTGACCCCAGATTCTGACAGACAAGTCCAGCTTTTCTGGAACCAGAAGGCAGCTGTGCCACGCCTCACCCTGGGGGCCACAGAGCTCTCTAATCCTGCAAAGCCTGGCTAGAGAGAGGGTGCATGATGTTCAGGGGGCTGAACGGAAAGGGCCCCTGGGGGCTGCCTCAGGGGCTTCCCTTCTACATGTGACGGTCTGAGAGCACCTGGAGAACAAGCTCCCACCTGGCATCACCTCGGCCACAGCCTTGGCCTGTAGGGGAGTCCCCAGCCAGGGGCACGAGGATGTGGGTTATTGCCCCCATCATTCACACAAACCCACCACTGTGCTCAGACTGCTGCCTCTCACAGCCACGCCACACGTGCTGACCCCGCTCAGCTGAAGCCTGGCTGCAGCCCAGCCTAGGGGGACCCTAGAGCCTGTAAGCAGGCAGGAGCGCGGCTCATCTACTGGGTTCCCTTTTGTCCCCCTTCCAGAGATTGGCGCTGGGGCCCAAGACCCACATTGGCCCCTCTGCCTGTCCCCAGAGTGGGATACTCAGGCATGAGGGCAGACTGACCTGCCTGGCCTGGAGGGAGACCCGAGGGTCAAAGCAGCCCAAGTGCCCACCAAGTGAGGAGGAGACAAGCTCGGAGGGAGCAACTGCCCACACCCCTGCGTGGCCCAGCTCAGGTTCTGCAGCTATCTGCCATCAATGAAAGCATGTATCACAACACGGGTCCAGGGGCAGGTGGCCACAGGGAGATGGGCTGGGCAGCCAGCAGCAGCCAAAGGGAATGGGGGTACAGCTCAGGCTGGTCCCCCACAGCGAGGAGAGGCTGTCACCGCTGGGCCACCCAAGGCAGCACCACTGCTGCTGAGGGCCGCTGTGGTCACTGGGCTGAGGTGGTGCCTCCTCAGCTGAGCCCTTCCTAGGTGGTTCCTCCCCACCTCCCTCCCCAGGTCAGAGCCTCAGCTGCCTTCCAAGAGGTCCAAGTCCTTTTCGTCACCCAAGTGTGGGTGAAAAGCTGCCCCCACAGGCTGCAAAGGCAACCAGGACCTGCCCTTCTGTCCCGAGGCAGCCCCTTCTCTCCCCTGCCCAACTGGAACTGCCAGAGCTGCCCAGGCCTGGGTGGGGGTAACAGTGCAGTGAGTCGCAGTTCCCCAGCCCTAAGGTCTTCATGCTTCTTTCTCAGAATACTAAACATTCAGGAATCAGATCCCGGCCACTTGGGGTGGGAGATTGATGGGTTTCCAATGCAGGAAGCAGTGCACAAACACGAGATGTATGTACACACTGCACACATACAGATACACAGATGCACACATTGTGTGCACACTCAGACATGCACACATACTGCACACACTCAAGTCTTAAGACACACATGCCCCATGCACACAGAGAAACAAACATGCACTGTGTATACAGAGACATGAAAGGACGCAAGTGTACACCACACAGACACGCACACACTGCAGACCTACAGGCACACATGCGTTGCATGTACACACGTGCATGCATGTACACACGTGCACACACTGCCTGCAGAGACACATAGGCATGCACACCTGCATTTCACATAAAAACTTAAACGGACACACACACACACACTGTATGCAGACACAGATACAGGCACACACTGCATGTTGACATAGGTACACATGCACACACACTGAGTGCACCAATGCACAAATGCAGTGTGCACATGCACTGCACAGATGCGCGCACACACTGCATGCATACAGACGCAGGCACACACACACACTGCATGCACACAAAGGTGCACGCACACTGCATACAGACACAGGCACACACACTGCATGCACACAAAGGCGCATGTGCACACACTGAATGCATACAGACACAGGTGCACACGCACTGCACGTATACAGACACAAGAGCACGCACACTGCACGCATACAGACACAGGAGCACACACACTGCATGCATACAGACACAGGAGCACACGCACTGCACGCATACAGACACAGGAGCACACACACTGCACGCATACAGACACAGGAGCACACACTGCACGCATACAGACACAGGCGCATGCGCACATACTGCATGCATATAGATGCAGGCACACACACACACTGCATGCATACAGACAGGCTCACGTGCACTGCATGCATACAGACACAGGCGCACGTGCACTGCATAGACACAGGCACACACATGTGCTGCATGCATACGACACAGGCACACACACACGTCCTGCATGCATACAGACACAGGCACACACACTGCATGCAAACAGACACAGGCAAACACACACTGGATGCATACACAGGAGCACGCACACTGCATGCATACACAGGCACACACACACGTCCTGCATGCATACTGACACAGGCACACACACACTGCATGCATACAGACGCAGGCACACACACACACTGTATGCATACAGACAGGCTCACGAGCACTGCATGCATACAGACACAGGCACACACACACACACTGCATGCATACGACACAGGCACACACAAATGCACTGCATGCATATAGACACAGGCACACACACATGTCCTGCATGCATACTGACACAGGCACATATGCATGCGGAGACACAGACACACAAAAGCACACCCAGACACTGTCTGGGCCAGCTGGTCAGATGTGACAGACAGGAATGTGACCCTATAAGCAGGCACCAGAATCACCCACACCAAGACAGGATACCCCCAGCGCTAAGAGAGGCTGGCTGGGCAGGCAGAGGACACAGACTCAGGCCTCAGACCCAACCTGAGTACTGGCGCACAGGGGAGCCGAGCCACCGGGCCTGCTGGGACTTCACCTCTGCCCACTGACCTCCTAGATATGCCAGGAGCTGTGCTCGGAACACACCCCGAGGGCCACTGTGTGGCTGATGTGGAGGAGACAGCCCGTGTGGCCCTCCTGAGGGGATTAGATGCCAGCTAAGAAGCAGCAGCCTACAAGGGCAGGCTCCCTCACGGAGCAGCACCTGGGCGCCCCGGGGCAGGGGCAGGGTCACAACACAGCCGACTCTCACTGGGGATGGAGCGGCCGGCCTCGCAGCTCAAAAGGCCAAGGAGAAACTGCCACAAAACAGGAGGCCCTGATGGGCTGCAGAGGTTCAGCACCGCCCCATGCATGGATGCAGCTGGAAACAGCTCAAGAGCTTCTGAGGAGCAGCAGCAGGACCAGCAGACACTCTTGGCCCAGAGCCAAGCCTTGGGATGGACCCAGGAGCTAAGCCACCAACCCTGTCTCCACTGCCAGGGAAACACAGGGACCAGCCATGGTGTGGTGAGCACCTCAGACCCAGCAGGTGAGCCCAGCCACTCATGGCCTTGTCAGGAGAGCCTGCAGCCACCACCCAGTGGCGAGCCAAGCAAAGAGTGCAGGGTTCCGCCAGGGCCACTTGAGGCCAAGCCACCCCACAGCGGCCCTGCATGGAGCTGCAGAGACTCAAGACTCCGCACGCTGAGGCCAGCACATCCCACCTTTGACTGTCCCTTAGCCCATGTTCTCCACCCACATCCTCCCTCCTCAGCAGTGGGCTGCTGTCACCCACCACCTCGGCAGCGATGGCTGAGCACCCACGGTGCACAGAGCAGGCACAGGGCAGCAGGGCTCAGGCTCCTCCAGAAACCCAGGCTGGAGAAGGGGCTGACCCCACTGTGAGTGTCCCCTCTCATCCCTGGGACAAAACAGAGCCTGGCCTGCAGGACCTCTGACAGCTGGTGCCACTGCTTGGATCACAGCCCACCAAACCAACGTGCCCAAGGTTGGCCCACCAGTCCCCAGCATGCAGGTGGCACATGCCACTCTAGGTACTTCTGTGGCCCCAGCTGGCCCCCAGCAGCTCCAGGACCCAAAGCCTCAGCTCTCTGCCTACCTTCGGCTCCTGCCCCGAAACCCAGCCGCTCAGGACAGGACGGTACCTTTTCCCCATACTGGTCACAGGGTCAGCTGCACTTGTGCTGGCTGGCGTCCTCCTTCGTGACAGCTTCCTGGCGCTGCCGCTGTGCTGGGGCCGGGCATCCTCCCTGTGCGGGCTGCCCCCACCGGCGCTGCTGAGGCCCCGCAGCACGCTGTAGTTGATCTTGCTGGAGATCTTCTTCTGCTCCAGCATCTTCTCGATGGCTTCTCTGGCTGTGCTGGCCTGGATTGGCTCCCGTCGCTTGCAAGACTTCTTGGGCTTGATGGAAACACACAAGAATGACTCCCGTGAGTCACGCCCCCATGCTCAACCATCAGGGGCTCCATGTGAGGCCAGCAGTGCGGCGGGGGGAGGCCTGGCTCAAGGCCTCAGAAGGGCTGCTCCTGCCTCCTCCTTCCAGAATGTGGGCCAGCCTGGCACTCTCTGGGCGTGCGCACGTGAAATCCTGCCCTCCCAGGTGAGTGCATCTGGGCTGGCACTGGCGCTGGCATGGATGTTGGCAGGGCCTCCATAAGGCAACAGCACCAAACCTGCCACAGGTGCAGCCCTCAGGGCCCTGCCACACCTGGGTCCTGCACAGGGCAGGGCTGGGCCATGTGCACACTGCAGGTGACGTGCTGCTGCGCTGTGATGTGAGGGCAGAGCTGTGACTGGGTGAAGACAGACAATCCACTCCAGCACTGCTGTCCAGGTCAAAGGCCCTGGATCTCATTCTAGGAGCTGGAGCCACAGACCACTTCGGAGCCAGCACCGCCCCTGCTGCCCTCCCTCCACGCGGCCAGCACCACCCCTGCTGCCCTCCCTCCACTTAGCCAGCACCGCCCCTGCTGCCCTCCCTCCACTTAGGCAGCACCGCCCCTGCTGCCCTCTCTCCATGCGGCCAGCACCGCCCCTGCTGCCCTCCCTCCACTTAGCCAGCACCGCCCCTGCTGCCCTCCCTCCACTTAGCCAGCACCGCCCCTGCTGCCCTCCCTCCACTTAGCCAGCACCGCCCCTGCTGCCCTCCCTCCACACGGCCAGCACCGCCCCTGCTGCCCTCCCTCCACTTAGCCAGCACCACCCCTGCTGCCCTCTCTCCATGCGGCCAGCACCGCCCCTGCTGCCCTCCCTCCACTTAGCCAGCACCGCCCCTGCTGCCCTCCCTCCACTTAGGCAGCACCGCCCCTGCTGCCCTCCCTCCACTTAGCCAGCACCGCCCCTGCTGCCCTCTCTCCATGCGGCCAGCACCGCCCCTGCTGCCCTCCCTCCACTTAGCCAGCACCGCCCCTGCTGCCCTCCCTCCACTTAGCCAGCACCGCCCCTGCTGCCCTCCCTCCACATGGCCAGCACCGCCCCTGCTGCCCTCCCTCCACTTGGCCAGCACCGCCCCTGCTGCCCTCTCTCCATGCGGCCAGCACCGCCCCTGCTGCCCTCCCTCCACTTAGCCAGCACCGCCCCTGCTGCCCTCCCTCCACTTAGCCAGCACCGCCCCTGCTGCCCTCTCTCCATGCGGCCAGCACCGCCCCTGCTGCCCTCCCTCCACTTAGCCAGCACCGCCCCTGCTGCCCTCCCTCCACTTAGCCAGCACCGCCCCTGCTGCCCTCCCTCCACTTAGGCAGCACCGCCCCTGCTGCCCTCCCTCCACTTAGGCAGCACCGCCCCTGCTTCCCTCCCTCCACTTAGCCAGCACCGCCCCTGCTGCCCTCCCTCCACGCGGCCAGCACCGCCCCTGCTGCCCTCCCTCCACTTAGGCAGCACCGCCCCTGCTGCCCTCCCTCCACTTAGCCAGCACCGCCCCTGCTGCCCTCCCTCCACTTAGCCAGCACCGCCCCTGCTGCCCTCCCTCCACTTAGCCAGCACCGCCCCTGCTGCCCTCCCTCCACTTAGCCAGCACCGCCCCTGCTGCCCTCCCTCCACTTAGCCAGCACCGCCCCTGCTGCCCTCCCTCCACTTAGCCAGCACCGCCCCTGCTGCCCTCCCTCCACTTAGCCAGCACCGCCCCTGCTGCCCTCCCTCCACTTAGCCAGCACCGCCCCTGCTGCCCTCCCTCCACTTAGGCAGCACCGCCCCTGCTGCCCTCCCTCCACTTAGCCAGCACCGCCCCTGCTGCCCTCCCTCCACGCGGCCAGCACCGCCCCTGCTGCCCTCCCTCCACTTAGCCAGCACCGCCCCTGCTGCCCTCCCTCCACGCGGCCAGCACTGCCCCTGCTGCCCTCCCTCCACTTAGCCAGCACCGCCCCTGCTGCCCTCCCTCCACGCGGCCAGCACCGCCCCTGCTGCCCTCCCTCCACTTAGCCAGCACCGCCCCTGCTGCCCTCCCTCCACGCGGCCAGCACCGCCCCTGCTGCCCTCCCTCCACTTAGCCAGCACCGCCCCTGCTGCCCTCTCTCCACCTGGCCCAGCACAGCCTGGGATGTGCTGCTGGGTGGGCAGAGACCCTGGGCTCTTAGGTCCCTCATCACAAGCTCCCTGGGTCCTCCCAACTAGGCAGGCCCCATATCTGCCCTCCCAGCCACCTACAGCTTGGTCCAAAGGACTCTGTCTCAAAGGCAGGGGCGTGGCTCCCTATTTTCTCCTTTCACTCACTCACTCACTCAACCACTGCTGACTGGGCAAAGCCGAAGTCACATTCAAACCATGGAGCCAGCAGCTGAGCCAAGTCACCACAACGACCACAGGGCAGGGAGGCACCACATTCGGACCTTCCCAGGTCATCAGAGGAGCAAACCCAGGTTACAGAGGCAGGGCTCAAGCCCAGGGACCCCAGTGACCAGCCCCGAGTCTCAGCACAGTCTGCCCTGTTGCTGCGTCTGGAAGTTCACCCAAGGCTGAGCACATGCCCTCTAGGGTGAAGCTGGCAGTTGGGTGCCTGTGGCCAGCACAGGGCAGGACCCAGTGGTTAGGGCATGGGTCTGGGGTCCAGAGTGTATGGCTTCCAACTGCCTGCCCTGGGACCTGGCCCCTCCTGTTACATGGGGAAGGGACATCCAAAGACATTTGCCCCCATAAGCCTGGACACACCTGAGAAGGCCAGGCCCGTGCCACAGGTGCCCACCTTGTGCTCCTTGTAAATGCCGAGTTCCTTCTCTTTGGCTATTCTTGCTTCTTTTTCTAAGAGTTCAGAAAAGGAGCCAGCGTCATTAAGGGCCCACACCCCAAGCCTGGGGACCCCGTGTCCTGGGTCAGGGCGGGCGGGTGGTGCTTACCCCTCTGCTCCCGCAGGTACTCAGCATTCTCCCTCATCCACAGCTCGGCCTTCACGCGGGCTTCCGACTCATTCAGGATGTACTGAGCACAGGAAGTGGGGCATGCTAAGGCCGCGCCGGCCAGCAGGAAGTCCTTCCACCGTTAGAGGAAGGGGAACCAGGGCCGCCTCTATTTAGTCAGAGCCCAGGCTGAGGCCTCACCACTCAGGATGAGCTGGGGACCCGCTGCCCTTTGCCCATCCCAAGTTCAGCCATGCAGGCCACCTCTGTGAGACCCTCTAGGGCAGCTTGCAAGCCCCGCTGGCACCAGGACCCTGGCCAGCCAGAGTGCAGGCCACAGGTCCCCACGAACAGACGAAGTGAGGGTGTGAGCTGCCCACTCGGGAACAGATGGGCCAGGCTGAAGGGGCCTGAGGCACCACGTGGCAATGAAATCGGGGGAGACTTCCTGCCTGACAGAGAGCAAATCTGTTGAAATCAACTGCAAAGAGCCAGTCCCAATGGCTGGACCCCCTAGATTCTGGGGGCACACAGCACATGCAGAGTCAGTGGGGGCCCTCTTACATCTGGAGACCCCTTGATGGGCCGGCCCCGGTGCTATTTGTGCAATTTGTGCTTGCCACAGGCTACGCACCCAGAGGGGCGAAGGGCCACGTACAAGCGGGGGGCCTCTGGACAGGCTGCCCTGGAGCCTACGCTGGGTAAGAGGATCTGGGGGTGGGTCCAGAAATAATGGCTAGAAGGCCACCCAGCAGGGTGGGCACTGGGCACTGGGCAGGGGAGATGGCCAACCCTGCCCAGCCACTTGGGGTTCCCTGGGCTGCATGCCCTCCCAACATGCCCCTGCTGGGAAGGGGTGCTGCCACCTACCCTGTCAATCTCCAGGTCGTCGATGCCGCTGAGGTCCAGCTCCCCGTCTCCCGAAGCATCTTCTGCAGGGAAGCGCAGCATCACCATCACTCGGGGCCAGCTCCTTATGGGAACGTGGCTGCCACCTGGGCTGGCTCAGGACTCTGAGTCTGGGCCAAGGGCCTTCTAGAACCCCATCCCCTCCTCTGCACCGGTGGGTGGCGCTGTTTCCCCACATGGCCACCTCTCTTTAATAAATGCTTCGCTCCAGCAGGATGCTCACTGAAGCCACAAGGGAAAACCCCAGCCACTTACTAAGATCGGGAGACGCAGGCTCTCTGGCCCCAAAGACCGAGGGAGGGCAGGGAAGCTGGGCAGGAAGGAAAGGCCAGGCCATGGAGAGAGATGGGGGTCTGTGTTGGGGGGAGCCAGCTCCCCATCACTGAACACAAAGGTCTTGGGATTGAAATGACGGAACAGAAATGATTCCACAGTCCAGGCCCGAGGGAGCCTTCCATGATCATGCTCAGGAGACCCCAAAACCTGCCTGTCACCTGTCCAGCCCCACGCAGTCCAGGCAGCATCTGCACAGCCTGGAATCGGGACAGCCCCTCCTCACCACAGCCCCCCGCCATAGCCGCCTGCCCCGTGCTGCCAATTCAAACTCCAGCACCGGGCCAGACTGTCCGGGTGCCCTCCTGCCACGCTGCTCCATGGCCAAGGCCCAAGATGACTCCTCTCAGCACTCACGGGCAGTCCTCAAGGCCCCCCACAGCCCTTCCTCAGCAGCACTCACGGGCAGTCCTCAAGGCCCCCCACAGCCCTTCCTCAGCTCCAGCCAGAATGGCCCTTTCTGCTCGGCGTCACTGTGCCTCGGGTGGTGCCTGAAGGGTGGAGGGCCTGAGGGTGAAGCATTACAGAGGCCAGGGCCTAGTGCCCGATGGGAGGCAGGGCCTGAGCGTGAAGCCTTGCAGGAGGGTCCAGACTCTCAGCCAGGGAAGCCTGTCCTGGCAGGGATGGGGGACAGGACCCACCTTTCTTCTAGAGCTCCCAAAAAATGGGCAGGGCGAGGGGGGCAGCACGGGCATGGTGGCCTGGCCTGGGCCCTATGGGGCAGGGCTGCCTCATTATTGCTATGTCCAAGCTCAGCAAGGGACAACCCCCTAACCATGTTGGACAAGCAGAGGAGGGGTGGAGCCATGGGTCCCTGCCCCGGGGCCCTGTGGGACTCCTGGGTGCAACCTGTGGGCTCCATTCTCATTTGGCCCCTGTGGCCTGCAGGCAGTCCCAGTGAGGTTGACGAGACCCACCGCATTCTGGTGTCGGCACACACCCAGTTCTTCACACCAGGACCACTGAGGCTCACACAGTCCCACTGGCCATTGGGGGGGCTGGTGGTGTCCTCACCCAACCCCACTCCTTGAGAACACCACACCTCCCAACAGAGGATGCAGCACCCAGGTATCCCCATGACAGGAACAAGCCGGAAAACTCTCCCTATGTCCCCAACGCCCTCCACACCCCATCAGAACTCACTGGGGTCGCTGCTCTGGGAGGAGATACATTCTCGGATGGAGTCTGAGATGCCCAGGCTGGCCGCCGTGGGCAGGGGGTCCAGCAGGGACTGCAGGGCCGGGGGTCTGCCACTCCCCTGGGGGCTTCCTGCGGCTTCCGAGCTGCCGGGTGTGGCACCCAGGAGCTCCCGGTATAAGTCCTTGTTCAGGTGGCTGGCCGCAGCCTCCAACTCCTCGTCCTCCGTGTCCTCCTCGCCACACAAGCTGGATGCGGTGTCCTCGACAGAGCCTAGGCATACACAATCCACACACCACCTGTTAACCAGGCAGAGGGCCAGGGCACCCACTTTTGTAACAAGAAACGATGCTGCCAAGCTGCCAGGTAACCTGGAGAACGGCTGTCGGCGCACAGTGCGGGGCGGCTGTGTGCCAAAGAACGAGCCTCAGCCCACGCCACGCGCTGCACGCGGAAGTCAGCTCAAAGCAGATGACAGACCTAGGGGAGCTACAAGTACAGACATTTCAGACAAAAACGTAAAAAAAAAGTTTGTGGCCTAGGATAAGGGAAAGGTTTCTAATGGCTCTAGAAGCAGAATCCATAAAACACCGATAAAACAGATTTCCAAAACATTAAGAACTGCCCCCTGAAAGCCATCGTAAGACAATGAAAAGACAGTGACAGGCTAATCTGCAAATCTCACAACTGATAAAGAACGTAAATCCGCAACAGATGAAGAATTCCCAAAACTTCACAAGAAAACACGACCCAATTAAAACATGGGACAAGACCTGAAGAAAGACTCCAGCAAAGACGGGTGGTGAACAAACACGGACAAAGACCTTCAGTCCTCAAGGAAATGCCAACGAAACCACCACGGCTCCTGCTTCACAACCATCGGAATGTCTAGCCCTGACAAGACGCCAGGCTGTGTCTCCCGGACATTGCGCTTCCACGCAATGGCGCCACCCCTCTGGAGACGACGGAGGGTGTTAGTGAAGACAGGTAGGGTGTGGGGGCTCACTGGAGCCAGGAATTTCAGACCAGCTTGGGCAACACAGCAAGATCCTGTCTCTACGAAAAAATTTAAAAACTAGCAGGGTGTGGTAGTGCTGACTGCAGTCCCAGCTACTTGGGAGGCTGAGATGGGAGGACTGCTTGAGCCCAGGAAGCTGAGGCTATGGTAAGCTACAATGCACTGCATACCAGCCTGGGTGACAGAATAAGACCGTCTCAAAAACAACAAAAAAAGACAAACACTTGCTTTCCACATAACCCAGCAATGTCACCCCAGCAATTTACCCTGAAGGAAATCAACGTCCATACAAGGACTTGCACACGAGTGTTCAGGAGCGCGCCAGAAACGACCCCGAACGAGAAACAATCACGAATGAATGTTACTGCTGTACGTCGATGACACTTCCTGGCAAACAGCTTTGTATCCATCCGATCACGGTCCCCTTTTGCCTTTAAAAATTCATTTGTGGCTGGGCATGATGGCTCACTCCTGCCATCCCAGCACTTTGGGAGGTCAAGGTGGGCAGGATCGCTCGAGGTCAGGAGCTCGAGACCAACCTGGCCAACATGGTGAAATCCCACTTCTACAAAAAAATATAAAATTAGCTGGCCTGGTGGGCATGTATGTAGTTCCAGCTACTTGGGAGGCTGAGGCAGGAGAATTGCTTGAACCCAGGGAACCTAGGTTGCAGTGAGCCAAGATGGTATCCCTGCACTCCAGCCTGGGGACGGAGTGAGACTCCATCTCCAAAAAACAAAAAAGTCCATGTGTAACTGCTGCTCATCAGAGTATATACTCAGGTGTGTGAGTGCCGCTCGCCAGAGTGTATACTCAGGTGTGTGAGTGCCGCTCGCCAGAGTGTATACTCAGGTGTGTAAGTGCCGCTCGCCGGAGTGTATACTCAGGTGTGTAAGTGCTGCTCGTCCGAGTGTATACTTAGGTGTGTTAAGTGCCGCTCGCCAGTGTATACTCAGCTGTGTAAGTGCCGCTCGCCGGAGTGTATACTCAGGTGTGTGAGTGCCGCTCGCCAGAGTGTATACTCAGGTGTGTGAGTGCCGCTCGCCGGAGTGTATACTCAGGTGTGTAAGTGCCGCTCGCCGGAGTGTATACTCAGGTGTGTAAGTGCCGCTCGTCCGAGTGTATACTTAGGTGTGTTAAGTGCCGCTCGCCAGTGTATACTCAGGTGTGTAAGTGCCGCTCGCCGGAGTGTATACTCAGCTGTGTAAGTGCCGCTCGCCGGAGTGTATTCTCAGGTGTGTGAGTGCCGCTCGCCGGAGTGTATACTCAGGTGTGTGAGTGCCGCTCGCCGGAGTGTATACGCAGGTGTGTAAGTGCCGCTCGCCGGAGTGCATACTCAGGTGTGTAACTGCTGCTCAGCAGTGTATATTCAGGTCTGTAACTGTTGCTCACCAGAGTATATATTCAGGTGTGTAACTGTTCATCAGAGTATAATTCAGGTGTATAAGTGCTGCTCACCAGAGTGTATACTCAGGGAGGGCAACTTGATGTGTCCTCACCAGCTGCAATCCTCAAGCTTGACCCAAATAAATTATGTAAATTAGTTTTGCCTCAGTTTCTTCCTTTTAGGTTGTCAAGACTCATCTTAAAACATTCCATTCTAGATTTTTTTGTGTATGTAGCAGGGAGAGAGTCTGGCTCTGTTGCCCAGGCCTAAGTATGGTGGCTCAATCACAGCTCACTGCATGTCAAACCCCTGGGCTCAAGTAATCCTCCTGCCTCAGCCTCCTGAGCAGCTGGGACTACGGGCACGTACTCCTATGCCCAGCTAATTTTATTTTTTGTAGAGATGGGGGTCTCACTATGCTGACCAGCTGGTCTTAACTCCACTCAAGCAGTCCACCTGTACTGGCCTCCCAAAGTGCTGCGATTATAGGCATGAACCACCATGCCTGACCCACCCTAAGTCTTAGATTGCTTTCTTCTAAATGTGTTCCAATACAAAGTTCCTGGCTAGCACTGAGTCCTGGAAGGGTCCCCGCGGTGAGGAATGGCTCCATTGGAAAAAGCACCCGATCCCCAGAGAGCAGACGTCAGCAGGTGATGACCTCTGTGTGGGTAACCCCTCATATAGGCACAGAGGAATGAGAGCTAAGCAGAACCCTGGCACAGTTAGGGCTTGAGGAGTATCTCACTTTATAGTGTTACTACTCAGCTACTTCCTCTTATATAATCCTTTACATAATCATATATTAGTTTATAGAATTAGGGCTTGAAGAATCCCTTTATATAATCCTCTATATATAATCATATAATAGTTGATAGTGTGAGTGCCTAAAGAATATTTCCCTACATACATACCTATAATTATATCTTAGTTCATAATCGGAGGAATGCCTAGAGCGGACACAGTGCAGAGCATGAATTAAGGAATAAGCAGCTTATCATCGGAGGAATGCCTAGAGCAGACACAGTGCAGAGCATGATTTAGGAAAAACAGTTATACCAGGACAAGGATCCATGGCCCAGGCGGCAGCGTCCAGTATTGTAAAGATACCCGCTGTATGGCAGGCTTGGGGTGAGAGCCACTCCTCCTGTAAAGGAGTTGGAGGACCTTGCTCCAGTTCTTGGTGAAGGCTGCCCTCAGACCAAGGTGCAATCCACCTTGGTGACTGTGAACTCTATCAGCTCTTGCTACTGTGCTGCTTGAAAAGCATCTTCCCATAGAACCCATTGGAAGCTGCCAGAAGGTGGTGGTAACCCTGACAGCTCTGTCACTGCTGTGTGACTTAAAGCATCCTCCTATAAATCTTCTTAGAAGTAGTTTGCCCATAGATAGAAGTATTGCACACCATGCACGGCCCACCTTCAAACCTCGGTGACCTAATGGGGGTGGACCCCTTACTGCGCACGGCCCTTGCCTTCCTGGGAACGGGCCCCTTGCTGTGCACTGTCCACCTCCTGGCCTAGGTGACCTAATGGGGGTGGACCCCTTACTGTGCATGGCCCTTGCCTTCCTGGGAACGGGCCCCTTGCTGCTCACTGTCCGCCTCCTGGCCTAGGTGACCTAATGGGGGTGGACCCCTTACTGTGCACGGCCCTTGCCTTCCTGGGAACGGGCCCCTTGCTGTGCACTGTCCGCCTTCTGGCCTAGGTGACCTAATGGGGGTGGACCCCGTGTTTTATTGCTCACGCCCTATCACTGTCCTTAAAGATGATTTCACTCACTGCCCTGCCCCCTAACCTATACACAATAAATACTCACGCTTCTGGACATTCGGGGCCTCTCCTGACTCCGCTCATAGGTGGTGTGGCCCCCCGAGCCCAGTTGCGTTTTCCTTGTACTTCTGTGGCCTGTCTCTTTATTTCTAGGATCCTGTGCCTCAGCACAGCATAAGGCTCACCCCACAACCCTGTGGGGCCCTCAGCCCTACATCTGGCTCCCAACGTGCCCTACACTCCTGGAAGCCCCTCCCTGGGCAAGTAGGTCCCGGCTGCAGGTGCCGAGAGCCTTGGGGGCTACAGCTGCCACATTCCGTGGACAAGCAATTCCTGGGACTGTTGGCTCTGCCCTGAAAGTGCCTCTAGAGTTCGACCAGGTTGGCCCAGGTCTTTCACCCTGGGTCCCTGCAACAGCCTCCCCACCACCTGCCTCTCCTCTCAGGCCATCTCATGGCTCCTACCACCCCCCAGTGAAAAAACACACAGTACAGAATACAAACCAAAAATAAAATTCTAAGCCCTAAAAACAACCAAACGAACCCCTTCTTTTGGTCAAGGAGATTTCAGAGAAACCTGAAAAGCTCGTTCAGACCATGATGGGAAGTGGGGCAGGGTCAGAAACGCCTCATTATACTCTCTTATAGCCCTTCCCACTGGAGTCCAGGCCCAGCTCATCAGCATTAACATCAAAACAGAGACTGAAGATCAACCAAGCAATAGCAAGCAGATACCAAACTCCAGCCTGACTCTAGCAAAGCAGCATGTGACAGATGGCAGGCCCTCAAAGAAATCGAAATATCTTACTCCAGAATATATTTCTTTGACATATTTTGAAGTGGCCCTGCAAAGCTATCTTTTGTGGGGGAAACTTATCGTCCGTAGAGAATCCCCTTCCTTTTCCAGGTCTTTTTCTGATCCTGAAAAGATTTGCTGAGATTCTAGCACATTTTAAAGGTCGGAATAGCAAACATTTGTCTGAGGGCAGTGGCTCATGCCTATAATCCCAACACTTTGGGAGGCCAAGGCAAGTAGGTCACCTGAGGTCAGGAGTTCAAGACCAGCCCCACCATCATGGTGAAACCCCGTCTCTAACAAAAAACACCAGAATTAGCTGGGTGTGGCAGCAGGTGCCTGTAGTCCCAGCGACTTGGGAAGCCGAGGCTCGAGAATCACTTGAACCCAGGAGGCGGGGGCTGCAGTGAGCCAAGATCGTGCCACTACACTCCAGTCTAAGCAGGAGAGAGACTCTGACTCACAAAAAAGAAAAGAAAAGAAAACCTTTTCCATCTATTGCCTCTGAGGGTGGCCACCTACAAGACTTCATCTACGTAACAAACACCTTGGTCTCCACAACCCCTGACCTTAACCCAGACACTTCTTTCTATCGACTTCAGGTCTTTAGATAATAACTCTTTCAACCATTTGCCAATCACAAAATCTTTGACTCCACCTGTAGCCAATAAGCCTAGCCCACGACTTCGAGTTGTCCCACCTTTCTGGATCAAACCCATGTACACCTTACAGGAGCTTCTGAGGGGAGGGGATGAGGTGGGGACAACCTGTACAAACAGCTGGTGGGCCACAGCCCAGCGTGCAGCCGGAGTGCCATGCAGGAGGCAGCCTCACCCCCCAGGACTGTGCACACAGACCAGAGGGTCCAGGAAGGGTGACAGGAGGGACAGGGTCAAAGGTCAGCTGGTGGGAAAGGTGCCGGCAAGGGGAGGCGGATGGACCTTGAGTTCTGAGGCCAGGGCTGGACTCACCATCTTTTGCCAGGCTGGCCAGGCCCCCCTTGGCCTTTGGTCGGCTGCTTTCCAGTTCAATCTCAATTGCATCCTGGTAACTGGATATTTCACCTGAAGTCGTAAGTGAAAAGCAAAAAGTCAGCACCAAATCAACTTTCCCGACAAAACAGAAGCGTTGTACGAGAAGGTCGGTTACCTTCAACCTCCTCCAGTTTTTTTGACAGGACTTGTTCAAGCTGAAAGGGAACGGGGCAAGAGGGTTAGTAAAGGGAGGCCCTGGGACACAGCACAGCCTCCCGGGTGCCCCACAGACCACAGACTGCTGGAACTTAGGGGTACGCAGTGGTGGAGGTGGAGCTGTGGGCCTATGTCCCCCATGGGGAGAGGTGGCACTTCCCAGAGTCTGTGCAAGGTACGTCCCAGAGCTGCCTCTGGCTGCTCACAGCACTGATGAGCAGCCACGAGGCTTTGGGATGGCACCAGCTCCACTACCGCCCTAGTTAGGGTGCACAACTTCTGTCCCAAGAGAGGCCTGACCCTGCTCTGAGATGCGAGGCCTGACAAACCCAGCACAGCCAGACGACAAGGCCAGCACTACCTGCTTCATCCGCAGCTTCCTCTGGCCAGCTGTGTATGAAGGTGGATCACATTCCTCCTCCAAGTCAATTTTCATGAACTCATCAATGGTCAGCTGACTGGTGGGGGTGTCTTCAAATTCCGTGAGCCTAAAATGGAGCCAGACATGTGAAATGGAGCTGGTGACCCTGAAAACAGCCATTTAAAACTGAGCTTCCAGCTGGGTGCAGCTCACACCTGTGACCCCAGCTTTGGGAGCCCAAGGTGGACAGACTGCTTGAGTTCAGGACTTTGAGACTAGCCTAGGCAACATAGTGAGACTCCATCTCTACCAAAAAAAAAAAAAAAAAAAAAAATTAGCCAGGCATGGTGGTGCATACCTGCAGTCCTAGCTACTTGGAAGGCTGAGGTCAGGGAGGATCTCTTGAGCCCAGGAAGTTGAGGCTGTAATGAGCTGTGACGGTGCCACTGCCCTCCAGCCTGGGCAGCAATCGAGACCCTGTCTCAAAAAATATATAAAAAATAAAATAAAAGGCCAGGCGGGGTGGCTCACGCCTGTAATCCCAGTACTTTGGGAGGCCGAGACAGTAGGATCACCTGAGGTCAGAAGTTCAAGATCAGCCTGGCCAACACGGTGAAACTCCATCTCTATTGAAAATACAGAAATTAGGGCCAGGCACGGTGGCTCACACCTGTAATCCCAGCACTTTGGGAGGCCGAGGCGGGTGGATCACGAGGTCAACAGATCGAGACCAACCTGGTCAACATGGTGAGACCCCGTCTCTACTAAAAATACAAAAAATTAGCTGGGCGTGGTGGCGCATGCCTGTAATCCCAGCTACTCAGGAGGCTGAGGCAGGAGAATTGCCTGAACCCAGGAGGCGGAGGTTGCGGTGAGCCGAGATCGCGCCATTGCACTTAAGAGTGAAACTCCATCTCAAAAAAAGAAAAAATACAGAAGTTAGCTGGGTGTGGTGGCAGGAACCTGTAGTCTCAGCTACTCAGGAGGCTGAGGCAGGAGAATCGCTTGAACCCAGGAGGCGGAGGTTGCAGTAAGCAGAGATGGTGCCATTGCACTCCAGCCTGGACAGCAAGAGCAAAACTCAATCTCAAAAATAATAAAAACCAAAAATAAGCAAAAATAAAATAAAAACCGCGCTTGCCAGATGGTTCCTCTGCAGGGCCTGGCGCTCAGGGCTTGCTCCTTGCCTCCCAGGTCCTTTCTGGTGGCTTCTCCATCCCCACCCGATCCTCTGGTCCCGGGAGAAAAGCCCACAGGCACCCTCATCACTTCCACAGAGAGACCCCCAGCCCTAGGCGGAAGACTCAGAAGGCCTGAAGAGAGGAGGCTGAGCCAGAACCGCCACGCCTGGCCCTGCCCGCCGGTGACCCAGGGGACTCAATTCTTACTAACGCCCTCTACACGTTACATCATCTCCAAAATGTTTAATCAAAGGGTTTCCACAGAATCAAAGGTCAGATATTTAAGGTCAAATACTGCCCAGGTGCTTTTGGAAACTGCCACAGGACACGATCTCAGCTGAAAAACTGAAGCCACACGTTTAAGATTTGCGATAAAGATCTCGGCAGGTACAGGTCACAGCAACTCCGCTGTCACACTGACCTTGCTGCAGTCTATGAAACAGGTCTGCCGTGCAGGGGAGCTGAGGAACCCAGCAACCAGCACAGCAAAGCAGGACTGCAAGCCCCGTGCACACCAGCCTGGCCTGCTCTGCCGCTCATTTACATCGACGCAGGGACTCTTAGGGCACTCGCACACGGGTCACCTGGGCTCTCAAAGTCCAGGACGGGCCGCACCAAAGAGACGGACAAGCTTCTGACATTTAAGATCAGCCTCCAGCCCGACTGTGACTCACAGCAACTTGACACATCACCCGCCACCGCAACTTAGAAACGGGGATCAGAAGGAGAGGGATGCCCCCACGGGACAGGGCCAGCCCCAGAAGGACTAGCAGGGAACTCTCTGGAGGGAGGAGAGGCAGCATGTCCAAGCCCGGTGGGACCCGGGCCAGGCTGGGGACAGCAGGTCCCGGGAGGCACCGCCTGCTCTGGTAAGAGACCCGAGCCAGACTGATGAAGCGTCTGCGTGGTCCCCATGCCGTGGTCCCCATGCCCCTACCTCTTCCGCAGTGTGGACTCACACACTTTGACCACGCTGATGACCTCTTTCACGGTCCTCCTGAAGTCATGCATTCTGGCTGCAACGAGGAGGGCTAGAAAGCAACGAGACGGGCCTAGTGAACACCATGCGGGGAGCCCAGGAAGGAGGCCGGGCACTGTGCAGGTCCCGGTCAGGGAGACAGGCCTTGTGAACACCACGCAGGGAGCCCAGGAAGGAGGCCGGGCACCGTGCACGTCCCGGTCAGGGAGACACAACCTGGAAGGATGTGTGTGCCTGGGCAGTGAGACCCTCGCCTGGCGTGGCTACTCCAGGGCAAGGTCCTCTCTACCTTACTGTGGGTGGCGGCTGCATCCACTGCATTTTCAAACACAAGGAAAATTAAAATGAAGCTTTCTGAGAACTTCACATAATCTCTCCAAGCAAACAAACTAAGATGACTTGTGTGGGAAACACAGGTTGTGACAGGAGCTGGGGGTCTGAGGATGCAGAGCCAGGCTGGGCGGGAAGGGGGTGAGGCCACCGCTGGCAGCTGTCACAGGCTCACCAAGGCCACAGCGGGCCCAGAACCTCCAGTGCAAACGTGGAGACCACGTATGCAGATGGAACTGATGCTCAGGCAGAATTCTGCTGTTAGCAGAGTGCAGGGATGCTGGCACCGGGCCTGCTGGGAAGAGTGGATGCTGGGCACGAGGGTGGGGGCCCTGGAGGAGAGTGAGAGCCCAGCCGAGGGTTGGGGTAGTTGACCAGGCCACGGCCACAGCCACGTACCAGCACCAAGGACAAAGTGAGAGTTTGAGTGACAGCTGCAACGTGGGGGGCCACAGAGGTCCAACTAGAAGAACCGCCCAGCTGGGGCCAGGGGTCAGCCTGACAGCCCTACAGAACCCTCACAAGCAGCAACCTGGTGTCTCAAGAGAGAGGCCACACCACTATCCGCATCAGGAGTTGGGCCCCCCAAGACCACGGACAGGGATGGCCACGCAGCTGCTCCCCAGAAGCAGGCAGCCTTATCAGGTCAGGGCCCCTTATCCCACGACACGCAGAGGACAAAAGGGTAGCCAAGAGGTCCTGGAGAGCTGAGGACCCCGTGGGCCAGGCCAGGCTGGAGGCAGCTGTCAGTGCTCTGGAGACACATACCCTAGCCCACCAGCACTCAGGAGTCAGGACGGCGTGATGCCAAAACCCAGACCACCATCCCACAGGCAGGCAGGGGCCACCGTACCTGCTCCACAGAGGCCCGAGGGGCGCCGGCCTGTGTGCATCCAGTCCCGCTTCATTCTCTGCAGGAGCCGCAGGGCCGTCATGGACACCTCATGGTTCTTCTCCCCGAATTCCAGCAGGTGCGCAAAGCGTGGAATGTACAGGCACGGGTCTGCGGCAGACACAGCGCCTCAGGGCCCGCCTCGACGTGCCACAGCATGTGCACATGCGGCCCACCTAGCCCAGGGGCAGGGAACCTGCACTTATCTTTCCAGGCACATGGCCCCCCTACAGCCCCCTCGTCAGACAAAGCCTCTCTGACCCTCAGCTGGTTCAGCCACGGCACTGAACCCAGGAGAGGCCCCAGCCACCTGCCACTGACCGCCTGCTGCAGCCACACTGGGGCACTAGGCAGCGTGCCCCACTGCATGGCCATCCTGTTCAGGGCACAGAGGGGCTCACACAGCAGCCTTCCCTCCAGACCATGCAGACAGCACCACTCCTACAATGGTCCCCGGGACTCTAAAGCAGGACAGGAGTGGCTGGGCACACAAGCCACTGGGCGGCTGGCATCTGCTGACACTTGTGGGTGAGAAGAGGACCCATTTCCAGCACCTCTACCAGCACGGCTGTGCCCTGGGTGCTATGTGTGCACACCAAGGCCTGGCGCTGTGCACCTCTGCCAGCATGGCACAGTGGCGCAGGGGACGTGCCTGGAGCAAGACAGGGCTGGCGCTGTGCACCTCTGTCAGCATGGCACAGTGGCGCAGGGGACGTGCCTGAAGCAGGACAGGGCTGGCGCTGTGCACCTCTGTCAGCATGGCACAGTGGCTCAGGGGACGTGCCTGAAGCAAGACAGCCCTGGCGCTGTGCACCTCTGTCAGCATGGCACAGTGGCGCAGGGGACGTGCCTGAAGCAGGACAGCCCTGGCGCTGTGCACCTCTGTCAGCATGGCACAGTGGCGCAGGGGACGTGCCTGGAGCAGGACAGGGCTGGCGCTGTGCACCTCTGCCAGCATGGCACAGTGGCGCAGGGGACGTGCCTGGAGCAGGACAGGGCTGGCGCTGTGCACCTCTGCCAGCATGGCACAGTGGCGCAGGGGACGTGCCTGGAGCAGGACAGGGCTGGCGCTGTGCAGCCTGGGCTGAGCAACTGTGTGGACCCAAGCGGCGCCCCTAACGCCCACCACAAGGCTGGGCTGTGAGTACACGGGGTTTTGCCATGTCCCACCAGGGCTCAGCAGCTGGTTCATCCTCACGGGTGCAGCCCCCTTCCAGGTGAGTGCAACAGAGCATGCAGTGCGCCCATGGCCACACGGCCATCATGGATGGGGTGGACTAGGATTAGTCTGGGCGGTCCAGAGCCACAGCTCTTTTCCACCATTTAAAAAATAATTTTTGGGAAATGGGGATTAGTGAGTACAAACACACAGAGAAACGAGTAGGATCTAGCGTTTGACACACAACAGGATGGCGCCAGGCAACAATTTCTTGTACATTTAGAATTAACCAAGTCAGTATAATTGGATTGTCTGTAACACGAAGGATAAATGCGTGAGGTGACAGATGGCCCATTTACCCTGAGGTGACTGTTATGCGCTGCATGCATGCATCAGAAAACCTCATGTGCCCCATAAATATACACACCTGCTACACACCCACAACCAAAGATAAAAAATAATTTTTGGTGATTTGGCTGCTAAAACAGATCTTATTGGGAGAAAAAAACAAGACATAATTTAAATTAACATAATTGTTAAGGTTTTTAATGACTTCCAATAAGAAACAATCATCGGATAAAAGACGATTGTTTTATGATAAGAGATATGCTCATGGGCCAGGCGTGGTGGCTCGCCCCTGTAATCCCAGCACTTTGAGAGGCTGAGGCTGATAGATCACCTGAGGTTGGGAGTTTGAGACCAGCCTGACCAACATGGAGAAACCCATCTCTACTAAAAATACAAAATTAGCTAGGTGTGTGGCGCATGCCCGTAACCCCAACTACTTGGGAGGCTGAAGGAGATTCACTTGAACCCGGGAGGTAGGGGCTGCAGTGAGACGAGACTGCGCCATTGCACTCCAGCCTGCACGAGAGCAAAACTTTGCCTTTAAAATAAAAAATGATATGCTTATAGACTGAGCAATAGCGAGACAAAGTCGACACGAAAAAGAATTTTCTTTTAATTTGGGGCTGAGCACGGTGGCTCACGCCTGTAATCCCAGCTCTTTGGGAGGCTGAGGTGGGTGGATCACAAGGTCAGGAGTTCGAGACCAGCCTGGCCAACATGGTGAAACTGCATCTCTACTAAAAAAATAGAAAACAGGCGGGCATGATGGCAGGCGCCTGTAATCCCAGCTCCTAGGGTGGCTAAGGCAGAAGCATCACTTGAACCCGGGAGGCAGAGGTTGCAATGCGCTGAGATCAAACCACTGCACTCCAGCCTGGTGGGAGTGAGACTCCATCTCTTAAAGAAAAAAAATTTTTTTTTGGTTGGGGCCGGGTGCCATGGCTCACACCTGTAATCCCAGCACTTTGGGAGACCAAGGTGGCAGACTGCCGGAGATCGAGACCACCCTGGGCAATATGGTGAAACCCCGTCTCTACTAAAATACAAACAATGAGCCAGGTGTGGTGGCCCTATAGTCCCAGCTTCTCAGGAGGGTGAGGCAGGAGAATCACTTGAACCTGGGAGGCAGAGGTCGCAGTGAGCCAAGATCACGCCACTGCACTCCAGCTTGAGTGAGAGACTGTCTCACACACACAGAAAAATTAGTGGGCATGAGGCCAGACGTGTTGGCTTACGCCTATAATCCCAGCATTTTGGAAGGCCAAGGCAGGTGGATCGCCTTAGCTTAGGAGTTTGAGACTATCCTGGGCAACATGGTGAAACCCTGTCTCTGCTAAAATACAAAAAAAATACCCAGGTGTGGTGGCAGGAGTCTATTAAAAATAAAAAAATTCAAGACAAGCCAGGCAGAGTGGCTCATACCTACATTCTCAGCCACCTGGAAGGCTGAGGAAAGAGGATTGCTTGAGCCCATGAGTTTGAGGCCACTCTGGAAAACACAGCAAGACCCATCTCTTAAAAATAAATATGGGGCCGGATGCAATGGCTCACACTGGTGAGTCCCAGAACTTTGAGAAGCAAAGCAGGAGGATCACTTGAGCCCAGGAGTTTGAGACCGGCCTAAGCAATACAGTGAGACCTCCATCTTTACAAGAAATGAAAAATTTAGCCTAGTGTTGTGATATATACCTGTCATCTCAGCTACTTGGGAGGCTGAGGAGGGAGGATTTCTTGAGTTGAGGAGGTCGAGGCTGCAGTGAGCCATGACTGTGCCACTGCACTCTAGCCTGGGTGACTGAGACCCTGCCTCAAAAAAAACCAAACAAGACAAAAAGTGTTTCTTCAAGACAATATATCAGTGACTAGGGTGGTGTGGGTGGCACTGGGCAGACGCGGTGCTGTGGGCCAACGTGGAGCGGCAGAACAGCACAGACAAGCACGAGCATTTCACGAACGGAAAGCAGCCTGGACTTTGCAGGCGCACAGTGACACAGAGAGAATTAAATGAAGGAAAAGCACCGGAAGCGACCTTCAAAACCCCAGTAATGGGGGACTTCAGCATGGTTCTCTCAAACGTGACAGGCTGATTAGGAAACGAAGCCTAAGGGAAGCTCAGACACATCACCACAGGCTCAACCTGACAAGGAAGTCCTGAAGCCCGTGCCCCGTGAAGTCATCATGCTTTCCCAGTGTCTGTGGGGCAGTTAGGAAAATGGGCGGAACCAAGAGACCTTCAATATACTCCAGGTGACAGCACAGAGGACATGCCCTTTGACCCCACGTGCAAAAACTAAAAATGAGCAAAAACAAACACTACTGGAAATTAAAGCACAACGCTTCAGGTAACTCTATTAATTTAAGTGCTTTGTACAATTAGGGAAGCAATGAAAGGGCCAAGCGTGGTAGCCCACGCCTGCAGTCCCAGCACTTTGGGAGGCCACGGCGGGTGGACTGCCTGAACTCACGAGTTAGATACCTGCCTGGGCAACACGGTGAAACCCCATCTCACCAAAACATGCAAAAATTCAGCCGGGCATGGCGGCATGAGCCTGTCATTCCAACTACTTGAGAGGCTGAGACAGGAGAATCGCTTGAACCCGGGAGGCAGAGGTGGCTGCGCCACTGCACTGCAGCCTGGGCAACAGAGCGAGACTCCATCTGAAAAAAAAAAATAAGGAAGCAATGAAAATAATAAACTAAGTCAAATAACAGAAAACTAAAAATTAACAAAATTATTTAAAGTAGGCAAAGGGACTAATAAAAAGCAGCAGCAAATAAATTACCACTATCAAGAAAAGAACTAAAACGCGTACCAGCCAGTACAGTGCTGACATAGAGACAGACCTACGGACCAGCGGAGCAGGACCAGTGACATGGACGGGAGGGGAACCTTCAACCAGAGTGACAACAACGCCTACCAGCCAGTACAGTGCTGACACAGAGACAGACCTACGGACCAGCGGAGCAGGACCAGTGACATGGACGGGAGGGGAACCTTCAACCACAGTGACAACAACGCGTACCAGCCAGTACAGTGCTGACATAGAGACAGACCTACGGACCAGCGGAGCAGGACCAGTGACATGGACGGGAGGGGAACCTTCAACCACAGTGACAACAACGCGTACCAGCCAGTACAGTGCTGACATAGAGACAGACCTACGGACCAGCGGAACAGGACCAGTGACATGGACGGGAGGGGAACCTTCAACCACAGTGACAACAACGCGTACCAGCCAGTACAGTGCTGACATAGAGACAGACCTACGGACCAGCGGAGCAGGACCAGTGACATGGACGGGAGGGGAACCTTCAACCACAGTGACAACAACGCGTACCAGCCAGTACAGTGCTGACATAGAGACAGACCTACGGACCAGCGGAACAGGACCAGTGACATGGACGGGAGGGGAACCTTCAACCACAGTGACAACAATGCGTACCAGCCAGTACAGTGCTGACATAGAGACAGACCTACGGACCAGCGGAACAGGACCAGTGACATGGACGGGAGGGGAACCTTCAACCACAGTGACAACAACGCCTACCAGCCAGTACAGTGCTGACATAGAGACAGACCTACGGACCAGCGGAACAGGACCAGTGACATGGACGGGAGGGGAACCTTCAACCACAGTGACAACAACGCGTACCAGCCAGTACAGTGCTGACATAGAGACAGACCTACGGACCAGCGGAACAGGACCAGTGACATGGACGGGAGGGGAACCTTCAACCACAGTGACAACAACGCGTACCAGCCAGTACAGTGCTGACATAGAGACAGACCTACGGACCAGCGGAGCAGGACCAGTGACATGGACGGGGGACGGGCAGGGGAACCTTCAACCACAGTGACAACGCGCGAGGGGGAAAGGCTGGTTTCAGTAAGCAGCGCTGGGCAAACTGGATTCCACACACAAAGGAATAAAGACACCCTCACGTCACACACAAAAACTAACTCAAATCCCATCAAAGACCCAAATGCAAACTCCAAACTATAAAACCCTTAGAAGAAAACATAGGGAAAAACTCTGTGACACGGGTCTTGGCAATGATTTCTCAAACATGACACTAAGAGCAAGGGCAACCGAAGTAAAAATAGACAAACGGATGAGCTGAAACGAAAACGTTTCTGCACAGCAGAGGACCCCGTCACAGAAAAGACCTCCCACGGAACGGGGAAGGGTATGCGCAAGCCATCTACCTCATAGGGGGTTGCCCTGAGAACACAAAAAACTCGGGCCAGCGCGGTGGCTCACGCCTGTATTCCTAGCACTCTGGGAGGCCGAGGTGGGTGGATCACCTGAGGTCAGGAGTTCAAGACCAGCCTGGCCATCGTGGTGAAACCCCATCTTATTAAAAAAAAAAAAACTCCAGCTCAGGAACAAAACTGATTAGAAAACAGGCAAATCACGCTTTTGTAATCCCAGCTCTTAGAGAGGCTCGGGCACGAGAATCGCTTGAACCTGGACGGCGGAGGTTGCAGTGACCCCTGATCACTGCACTCCAGCCTGGGCAACAGAGTGAGACTCTGTCTCAAAAAAGAAAAAAAAAAGCACTTGAACAGACATTTCTCCAAACATGACATGCAAATGGCCAAGAAGCACACGAGAAAATGCTCATCATTAGTGCTCACCAGGAACATTCAATCAAAACCACACGACACTACCTCATACACGTTAGGATGACCATTAACAAAAAATAAAGAAGAAAACCATAGGCCGGGCACGGTGGCTCACACCTGTAATCCCAGCACTATGGGAAGCCTAGGCAGGTAGATTACTTGAGGCCAGAAGTTCAAAACCAGCCTGGCCAATGGCGTCTCGCTCTTGGCCCAGGTTGAAACTTCGCCTCCCTGGATCAAGCTATTCTCCCGCCCTGGCCTCCCTAGTAGCTGGGATTACAGGCGCCCACCAAGCCCAGCTAATTTTTGTATTTCTAGTAGAGACGGGGTTTCACCACGTTGGCCAGGCTGGTGTCGAACTCCTGATCTCAGGTGATCCGCCCGCCTCAGCCTCCCAAAGTGCTGGTATTACAGGCGTGAGCCACCACACCCAGCCAACACTGAAATATATTTAAAAATCAAAGTGCAAAGGATGGCTTTTTCCTAAGGATGAGAATTATTATTCACACACCCGACACCACTACGCAGATCAGGACACTGACTGCCTCTGAGGCTCAGCAGCATCCTGGCAGCCCCTCTGAGACCGCTTGCACGTAGCTGTAAGTTATTCCTTCCCACTGCGTTATGGATCCACCACAACCTGCTGATCCTTTGTTGCTGACGGACATGTGTGGACTGTCTGCACTCCGGCCGTTTGTACTTCTGTTGCTGACGGACATGTGTGGACTGTCTGCACTTCGGCCGTTTGTACTTCTGTTGCTGACGGACATGTGTGGACTGTCTGCACCCCGGCCGTTTGTACTCTCCTGGAAACTGCCTATGCCGTTACCTTTTTCTATGGAGACAGATGGCTGGGATGGAAACCACAGTAGCCAACCTGTCTTTGCCAGTGAGGTCCCACACTATGAAATCGCAGCTGTGGCCTCCGTGGGTGTGTCCTTGGCAGGCGCACCTACAGTTTCTCTTGGGACCTTCTGGGCCCTCGTGCATGCGCAGCTTTCCAAAGGGCTTAGCTGTGCCAAGTTACGTGCCCACCTGCAGCAGGTGATCTCCGGCAGCTCCTCGTCCCACCAACACTGGCATTACAAGTCCCAAGCTCAGCAGCCTGGGGCCGGGGGCCCCGTTCCCTGGAGAACTGATGACGTGTGCACCCTGGGCCCCTGCAGTGTCTGTGCACGTCCTTCACCGGTTTTTTAATTGGGTCGTCAGCCTTTTTCCTTCCTGACCTGTAGGCTCATCCATCCCAGGGTCCTTTGCTGAAAATACACCGTCTTCTGAAGGGGATTCTCCCAGGGACAATTACTACGACTGCAACCACCGCCGAGCCACAGATGTGTTCACTGTTTAGCCCAGGACCAGGGCGACGGGTGCGCCCACTGACCCGAGCTGCTGGCTGCATCCTGGGGGGTTCCCGGAGACGGAGGTTTTCAGCCTGAAGCCTGGGGTCCAGGAGGTCGCGGGTGCGTCTTCGGGAAGGAACCCTCCTGACAGCCAGGCCTCTGCAGCTTCGTCTGCACCAGCGGCGCGGCGGGGCCAGATGACACCGCCCCTGAAGTTTGGTCTCATCCGCAAAGTCAGCGCCACGCACCTCCCAGGTTTAGCCCCAGGCTGCGAGGCCAGAGGCCCCACGGGGAGCGAGCCACGACTGTGATCCACAAGCACAACCACGGAGGCGCCAGATCCTGACTCGCCCACCCGCACGCTGTGTGACCTTCAGCACGCGACTAACCTCTCTGTGCCCGTTTTCTTGAGGAAAATAGCAGCGCCTGCCCCTGTAAAGCGCTGAGACCAGAATGGGCCGCGCCGTCTGCGAGCGTTTGCTGCTGGCGTCCGTAGGAACGAGGAAGCCCGCCGACCGTCCGACACGCCGCGGCCAGAGGCACAGGCAAGTGGGTCCACCCGCGTTCCTAAAGCATCGCGAGCTGAAGAACCGGCGGGCGCAGGCTCCGCGGGGCTGGGGGCGTCGGGCAGCCTGCCAGGGCCGGGAGCCGCGTTATGCGCGGCAAAGGCGTCAGCGGCTCCGAGGCGGTGGGGTTTGGGGGCGGGACCGCGCGGCAGCGTCGTCGCGCGAGGCACGGCCCTGACGCAGCGTGACGCGTCCTGACGCAGCGTGACGCGCCGGCGCCGCGGCGGGTACGAGCTCGGGCGGGCGGGACGGCGCGGACGGCGCCCCCTGCGGCCGGGCCTGGCCGGGCTGCGCTAGGCTGGGCTCGGGCAGGGTCGCAGGGGCGGGGGTGTGGCAGGGGCGCGGGTGGCAGTTCCGCGGGTCGCAGCGCCGCCGCCGCCGCCCATGCTGCTGCCCCTGGCCTGCCTGCACGGCCGCGTCGCTCAGTGCCTGACCTCCCTGCTTTTGCTTGCAGAGCCGCTCCCGAGGCCCCGGCGCAGCGCGAGAGCGCGGGGCGCGGCGTCCACAGGCCCCGAGGCCGCCCCCGCCGCCCCGCCCGCGAAGATGGCAGCGGAGCTCTACGCGCCCGCCAGCACGACGGCCGCAGACCTCGCCAACAGCAACGCGGGCGCCACCGCGGGCAGGAAAGCCGGGCCGTGCAGCCCGCCCAGCGCCCCCGCGCCCGCGCCGCCGCCGCCCGCGCCCGCGCCGCCCACACTCGGCAACAACCACCCGGAGAGCCCGGGCTGGCGGTGCTGCCGCCCCACGCTGCGCGAGAGGTGAGCGCGCCCCCCCGCGGTCCCCGCGCGCTCCCGCGTGCGCGCGCGTCCCCAGCCCACGCCTCTACCTTTGCAGGAACGCGCTCATGTTCAACAACGAGCTCATGGCCGACGTGCACTTCGTCGTGGGGCTTCCGGGGGCGACCAGGACGGTGCCTGCCCACAAGGTGGGTAGCGGCGGCCCCTCTCGGAACGCGTGCCCCGCCCGCCGTGTGGTTGCCTTGCAGCCTGCAGGACAGCCAGGCTCACGGCGGCGCTTTCTCCTCCCAGTACGTCCTGGCTGTTGGCAGCTCGGTCTTCTATGCCATGTTCTACGGGGACCTGGCGGAAGTCAAATCTGAAATTCACATTCCAGACGTGGAGCCTGCAGCTTTTCTGACCCTATTAAAGTAAGTCCACTGTGTGCTGGGGAACGAGGGGTGGGTCCTTTCTAGGCAGCCTCCCGTGGCTTCGGAGGGGGACCCTGCAGGAGCTGATGGGCTCCTCACCTATGCCCAGCCCCTGACCCAGGCCCTGCTTCGCCTAGGTACATGTACAGTGATGAGATTGATCTGGAAGCCGACACAGTGCTGGCTACGCTGTACGCTGCTAAGAAGTACATTGTCCCAGCATTGGCAAAAGCCTGCGTCAACTTTCTGGAGACAAGTCTGGAAGCCAAGAACGCCTGCGTCCTGCTGTCCCAGAGCCGGCTGTTTGAGGAGCCCGAGCTGACGCAGCGCTGCTGGGAGGTCATCGACGCACAGGCTGAGATGGCCCTGCGGTCCGAAGGCTTCTGTGAGATAGACCGGCAGACACTGGAGATCATCATCACTCGGGAGGCCCTCAACACCAAAGAGGCGGTGGTCTTCGAGGCTGTCCTGAACTGGGCCGAGGCGGAGTGCAAGAGGCAGGGGCTGCCAGTCACCCCACGAAACAAGAGGCATGTTTTGGGACGAGCCCTCTATCTGGTACGAATTCCAACGATGACCCTAGAGGAGTTTGCCAACGGCGCTGCCCAGTCAGACATCCTGACTCTGGAGGAGACCCACAGCATCTTCCTGTGGTACACCGCCACCAACAAGCCCCGCCTGGACTTCCCCCTGACCAAAAGGAAGGGCCTGGCCCCGCAGAGGTGCCACCGATTCCAGTCTTCTGCCTACCGCAGCAACCAGTGGCGGTACCGCGGGCGCTGTGACAGCATCCAGTTCGCAGTGGACAGAAGGGTATTTATTGCGGGGCTGGGCCTGTATGGGTCCAGCTCTGGGAAGGCTGAGTACAGTGTGAAGATTGAGCTCAAGCGGCTTGGGGTGGTTCTGGCTCAGAACCTGACCAAGTTCATGTCAGACGGATCCAGTAACACTTTCCCAGTCTGGTTTGAACACCCAGTCCAAGTGGAACAAGACACCTTCTACACGGCCAGTGCCGTCCTGGACGGCAGCGAGCTCAGCTACTTTGGGCAGGAGGGGATGACGGAAGTGCAGTGTGGAAAGGTGGCCTTCCAGTTCCAGTGCTCCTCCGACAGCACCAATGGGACGGGGGTCCAGGGTGGGCAGATCCCTGAGCTCATCTTCTACGCCTGAGGAGCCCCGGGGGGCCGCAGCAGGTCGGAGAGAGAGTAGAGGGAATGTCAGATGCTAACTGCTGCCCGACACCATGCAAGCCACACTTCACCTTGTGTGTCTTTGGCATGCAGTCAGCTGAAGCTTGATTCTGGGAAGTAGACGCCTTTCCACACAGCCAGAGCCCAGGGAGTCCTGTCTTTGGCATGTAGCCAGCTGAACCTTGATTGTGGGAAGTGGATGCCTTTTCCACACAGCCAGAGCTGGGGGAATTGGGGTCTCAGGCATCTCTGGTGTGCTGGGGTGCATGTCTCAGGTGGAGGAAGATTTAGGGCACAAGGCAGGCCCCAAGATCCCATGCCACCTGCTTTGAGGGGCTGGATGTTCCTGCCACCGTCTTGGATTCTAAGTGGCTCCAAGCTTAACTTGAGACCTTCCCTTTAAATCTAAAATTGGCTAAGTCACTTAAAATAGTGGACTTGTGTAATAAAGGTTGTCTAAAATAACCATGTGTCAGTAATGACTACGGTAATTGTAGAGGGGGTGTTCTCTTTCTCAACAACAGAACAGCTCCTGCCCATCCCCAGGAGAAAACCTTTCATGCCGAACATGCTATATGGTTAGAAGCAAAGTGTGCCCCAGCAAAGCCCATCCGTCCCCCTGGGTCGCTGGCGCCTGTGGGCCACCACGGGAAACTAAAGGTGCCTGGTTGTATGTCCTAATGCATCACCAGCACCTCAGAGTCCCACCCTGTGAATGGGCTGTCGGGGGGAGCATTCTGCTGGGCCCAGCGTTCTGGACCCCTGGGGACACAGTGTCACTAGCGGGGACACTACTGTGGGACAGCTTGTTGCAGGCGTGGACTGGAGTGGAGCAGACTCTCCCACCCCTTGCCTCTGCCCTCTCACTCTGCTCGCTCTGGTTGGCAGCTGCTTTCTGGAAAACCTGTTTGGCCCCTGAAAGGAGGGACGACCCCCCTTAACACCTGGGAGAGAGCATGGGCCAAGTGTAGAGCCCGGGCCGAGTGCCTCTCTGCTGCTGCAGCTCATGCTGCTCAGTCCCGTTGGTGACCCAGCCCCACTTGCTTCTCTTCCACAAGGACATACACTCCTACATGCAGACAGGTAAAGTAAGAAAGGGCTCTAAGCGGGCTGTGGAAACCAGTCATCCGCTTGGTAAAGAAAGAAAAGGTCAGTTGGAACCATCAGGTGGTAAGTGCTATTCTGATCGTTTCCTTCTAGACTTTTCCCTTGGTGGGATTCTGCACACATGAACACTGCTGCTGCCTCGAGGGGGAGACAGGACTTACATGTAACGCATGTCGAGAAAGGCATACAGGAGCTCCATAAGCTTGCGCACACTGGGCACTCAACAGAACAGAAGCGGCAGAAAAGCCACAAGAGCGCTGTGGCTGGAAAGCACATCCAGGAGCTGCCCCGCTGTCCCCGTCTGTGCAGAGGCACCTGGTGCCAGGTGTGTTCTTTAAACCCTGTCCACACAAGATGCTCCCAGGACACAGCACTTGTTTCCCCGTCTGTCTACACCCTCCTGTGCACCTGACGGGCACTGACAATGGGCCTTCTGGTTTTGCAGCAGAAAGCAAGCCCCGGGCCAGGTGTGGTCGCTCATGCCTGTAATCCCAGTGCTTTGGGAGGCCAAGACAGGAGGATCGCTTCAGGCCAGCGGTTTGAGGCTACAGTGAGCTATGACTGTGCCACTGTACTCCAGCCTGGATTTAACAGCGAGCCTCTGAGTTCCTTGCAGCTTTAGGAGACATTTATGACCTTGAGGGGTCCTGTACTTGGACAGGCTTTCCCTCTACTCTCAACAGATACTTGTCACGCTGGTCCCTAGAGCAGCCTGCTGGGCATCCCGTCTTACCCAGATGCCTACCTATGGCCGGTGCATTGATGCAGAGCTCTCTTGCCAAGAGAAGAAACGTCTTTCCCAGCACGTACACATTCACCTGAGAAAGAGATCACAACCAGAAACTGCATTGGTATTTAAGGAGATGTTCACTTTTTTTTCTCTTAAAATGCATCTCTTGTTCAGTCTTGAAAGACTCTGATGGCCTGTGGAACAGCCACCCCACACCTGCAAACCTGGCCGTCCTCCCTCAGCTGCTGGGGCTCCCAGGGCCCTGCTTTCTTCCTCTAGGCCGCCGCTTTAGAGCCCGCTGCCGTCTCACCAATGATGACATCTGTTTAGAAGAAAACCTGGCTGCGGGGTCCCTCCCAGGGCATAATCACACTGTGCGCCTGCATTTCATTCAGAATGGCCGCAACTCCGGCCTGGGCTCTGACGGGCCCAGAGGGCCTGGCCTCAGCCCCCTTGCTGGGACTGACATCTGTGTTCCTCAGTGACTCCCATGCCATCTGCGCTGTTCCCACCTCAGGTCCAAATCCACCTGCCATCGCTCTTTTCCCTGTCAGGGCAGCGGAGGTGAAGCCCAGACCGAGAGGGGCAACCCAGAGGGCTGGCAGTGATGAAAGTGCCGTTGCTTGTCCTCAGCGAAACAAGGACTCCAGCCTGTGTGCAGACCCTGTGCACAGTCCTGCCATCCTCAGGAAAACAAGGACTCCAGCCTGTGCGCAGACCCTGTGCATAGTCCTGCCATCCTCAGGAAAACAAGGACTCCAGCCTGTGCAAGGACCCTGTGCATAGTCCTGCCATCCTCAGGAAAACAAGGACTCCAGCCTGTGTGCAGACCCTGTGCATAGTCCTGCCATCCTCAGCGAAACAAGGACTCCAGCCTGTGTGCAGACCCTGTGCATAGTCCTGCCATCCTCAGGAAAACAAGGACTCCAGCCTGTGTGCAGACCCTGTGCATAGTCCTGCCATCCTCAGGAAAACAAGGACTCCAGCCTGTGTGCAGACCCTGTGCATAGTCCTGCCATCCTCAGGAAAACAAGGACTCCAGCCTGTGTGCAGACCCTGTGCATAGTCCTGCCATCCTCAGCGAAACAAGGACTCCAGCCTGTGTGCAGACCCTGTGCATAGTCCTGCCATCCTCAGGAAAACAAGGACTCCAGCCTGTGCAAGGACCCTGTGCATAGTCCTGCCATCCTCAGGAAAACAAGGACTCCAGCCTGTGTGCAGACCCTGTGCATAGTCCTGCCATCCTCAGGAAAACAAGGACTCCAGCCTGTGTGCAGACCCTGTGCATAGTCCTGCCATCCTCAGGAAAACAAGGACTCCAGCCTGTGTGCAGACCCTGTGCATAGTCCTGCCATCCTCAGGAAAACAAGGACTCCAGCCTGTGCGCAGACCCTGTGCATAGTCCTGCCATCCTCAGGAAAACAAGGACTCCAGCCTGTGCGCAGACCCTGTGCATAGTCCTGCCATCCTCAGGAAAACAAGGACTCCAGCCTCTGTGCAGACCCTGTGCATAGTCCTGCCATCCTCAGGAAAACAAGGACTCCAGCCTGTGCAAGGACCCTGTGCATAGTCCTGCCATCCTCAGGAAAACAAGGACTCCAGCCTGTGCAAGGACCCTGTGCATAGTCCTGCCATCCTCAGGAAAACAAGGACTCCAGCCTGTGTGCAGACCCTGTGCATAGTCCTGCCATCCTCAGGAAAACAAGGACTCCAGCCTGTGCAAGGACCCTGTGCATAGTCCTGCCATCCTCAGGAAAACAAGGACTCCAGCCTGTGCAAGGACCCTGTGCATAGTCCTGCCATCCTCAGGAAAACAAGGACTCCAGCCTGTGCGCAGACCCTGTGCATAGTCCTGCCATCCTCAGGAAAACAAGGACTCCAGCCTGTGCGCAGACCCTGTGCATAGTCCTGCCATCCTCAGGAAAACAAGGACTCCAGCCTGTGTGCAGACCCTGTGCATAGTCCTGCCATCCTCAGGAAAACAAGGACTCCAGCCTGTGTGCAGACCCTGTGCATAGTCCTGCCATCCTCAGGAAAACAAGGACTCCAGCCTGTGTGCAGACCCTGTGCATAGTCCTGCCATCCTCAGGAAAACAAGGACTCCAGCCTGTGTGCAGACCCTGTGCATAGTCCTGCCATCCTCAGGAAAACAAGGACTCCAGCCTGTGCAAGGACCCTGTGCATAGTCCTGCCATCCTCAGGAAAACAAGGACTCCAGCCTGTGCGCAGACCCTGTGCATAGTCCTGCCATCCTCAGCGAAACAAGGACTCCAGCCTGTGTGCAGACCCTGTGCATAGTCCTGCCATCCTCAGGAAAACAAGGACTCCAGCCTGTGTGCAGACCCTGTGCATAGTCCTGCCATCCTCAGGAAAACAAGGACTCCAGCCTGTGTGCAGACCCTGTGCATAGTCCTGCCACAGCAACACCATGACCTGCTGCTGCCTCTGCCGGCCCACCTCAAACTCCGCACCCCTAAACCTGTGTCCCAGAGACACGGGTCAATGAGACCTGAACGCTGAGAGTGAGGCATCTCCAAAGGGCCTTTACATGGAATTCACACTTAAAAAGCCATGCATGTAGAACTTTTTTTTTTTTTTTTGAGTCAGTTTTGCTCTTGCTGCCCAGGCTGGAGTGCAATGGTGGATCTCACCTCGCTGCACCTCCGCCTCCCAGGTTCAAGCAAGTATCCTGTCTCAGCCTCCTGAGTAGCTGAAATTATAGGTGTCCACCACTACACCCAGCTCATTTTTGGTATTTTTAGTAGAGACAGGGTTTCACCATGTTGGCCACACTGGTCTCAAACTTCTGACCTCAGGTGATCCACCAGCCTCGGCCTCCCAAAGGGCTGGTGTGAGCCACCGTGCCCGGCCTAAACACATGCGGTTCTTTCCAGAGTTGCTAATATGTATGAGGACCACTGATCAGAAATCTTCCCACTACAGTCTAACTGGCTGCTCCCTGAGGGCAGGGGTCAGGGCAGAGTGTGGCCAGCTTCCCCCCTCATCTCTCTCCCAGGGCAGCAGGTGGGTTCTGCCTCCAGACTTCCCTCGTGGGTGTTGCCTGAGGAGCGACCTGGGTGTGCCCTAAGGCAAGGATCAAGAGAGTGACCCCGTGAGCTCTCCATGGGACTATCTGAGTCCGCAGGAGCCTGACCACCTCCAGAGCAGCTGCCCCGGCCCTGGCCTCCTGCTCATCCTCCCTGGGAGTCGCGGGGCTGGAAACAGGGTTACCTGGTTTGCCCTGAAGCAAGCACAGAGCACCTGAAACGTGGGCTTGCTGGATGGGTTATCACAATTCCAGCCAAGTACTTTTAGCTTGACCACAAAAATTTCAGCAATAGCTTCTGAGGTGCCATTTATAAAGACAGCTGGGAGGACAAGGACACCAGGTGCCACCTGACATGGGCAGAAGCCTAACTGTGGGCTGCAGCCAATGGTGCCAGGTCCCCAAGGACCCGAGGTGGCAGCACAGCCAATGGGTGCCCAGAACCCCTGTGGGCACCTGGGTCTGGACACAGCTCCCTTTACATGAATTCTGCACTGTGGTCACGACTTTTCACTGACATTTCTCTCTGAGTCAACAGAATGGTCACCGAGGACCTGTGGTGCAGGCACAGTGCAGAGCCTCAGTGTCCTCACCCTGGGTCTTATCTACACAGGGGCCCTTGGGGTGGGTCTTTCCACTCTGTCACTTTGGTCAGAGATGTAACTGATTGAAATGCCTTCTGTGGCATCCAGAAGGCAAGTGTCTCCAAAGAGACTGTGATACAAGACTTTTCTGCAGTTTAAAATGCATGCAAGAGGCCAGGTGTGGTTGCTCAGGCCTGGAATCTCAGCACTTAAGGAGCCCTGGTGGGAGGACTGCTTGAGCTCTGGAGTTAATGCATGCAAGAGGCCAGGTGTGGTTGCTCAGGCCTGGAATCTCAGCACTTAAGGAGCCGTGGTGGGAGGACTGCTTGAGCTCTGGAGTTCAAGACCAGCCTGGGCAACATGGCAAGACCCCATCTCTACTAAAAATACAACACAGCCAGGCACGGTGGCGGGCACCTGTGGTCCCAGCTACTTGGGAGGCTGAGGTGGGAGGATCACCTGGGCCTGGGAGCAGAGGTTGCAGTGAGCTGAGATAGCACCACTGCACTCCAGCCTGGGTGACAGAGCAAGATTCTGTCTCAAAAAAAAAAAAAATGTTTTTTAAATGCATGCAAGCCCAGAAGAAATAATCTCCCATAGCTAACCAGGTTACTCACAATTTTAATAGAATTAAAATAATGTCTTTTGTGTAGGACACAAGTGCACTGTTTACCCACCCAGGCCCACTACAGGCAGCTGCCCTCCTGCCATGGAGACCCACACTCCCACGAGTCTCGGACTGTGACCCCCATGTCATAAAGGCCCCTCATCCTACAGACCAAAACTTCCCGTCCGGGCAGGCAGCAGAGACCAGCCACTGAGGTGCGTGAGGGCACCCAGTGTACCCCGGTCACAGCCCCAAGTGGGGAGAGACGCAGGACAGAGGTTGTCTACCTGGAGCAGGTCGCTGAGGTCCAGGAGCATGTCTGCGGTAGGAGTCAAGGATGCGGTCGCATGGCTGGCAAGCTTGGGTTACCCACCCACCCACCCACCTTCAAAAGGGCAGGATGGCAGGAGTGCACCCCAGGGAGCTGGAGTCGCCCCTCCAAATGTAAGCTCCGCCTCTGATCAGGAAGGAAAGGTGGGGTAGAGGCGAGGCACCGCGCTCAGGCCTCACCAGAACCTCCCAGCCCCAGGCACGAGGGAGACTTCTGTGAACCCAATACCAGGACAAAAGACTGCAAGAAACAGGGAGCCAAACTGGGGGAACCAGAAACGTGGGGGCTTCAATCTGATCCTGGAGAGAGCGTGCACCCCCACACGCCCACCTGCCCAGTCAGGTGTCCACTGCATGGTAGGTCCGCTGCCCGCACACAGCACAGAAGACACAGTGATACTCATGCTCCCTGCAAGGGCACTTCCTGAGCACTTAGCAGGCACCAGGCAGGCAGTCGTCCTGGGAGACAGAAACATAGACCTGGGGCCCCCTTGGTGAGCAGTGAGCCTATAGGGACACCAGGGGCTGTGCTTGAGAGACAGGTGTAGGGACCCTGCACGGGACCTGTCCTCGCTCAGATGAGCAAACAGAACCCAGCATGTGTCCGAAGTGACTCAAACCTCAGATGGACCCATAAATTATCAAACACCAGCCACTGCTTAGCACGACCTGCCAGACAGCTAAGGTGCATCTTTCACAGCCCCACTGTAGCTTCCAGAAGTCACTCTGGACACCTCCCGGGGCTGGATCAGGAGCCCTCACAAGCAGTCGGGTGGCTGGGACGTGAGCTGCGAGGCCTGTGAACACAGGCGCGTCTAAAGGCAGGCGGTCCCCGAGGGCTGCGACTATGGGCTGGACGCACCACAGCACAGCCAACAGACGTGACAGGCACTGTGAGAGGACTGGCGGTGGGGGGTGGGGCCAGGGACAAAGGAAACCAAAGGACAGCAGGAAGAACTACTTGGGGAAATGCCCATGGCGGCCAACGTGCACAAACGGAAAAATGAGGCCAGAAGGCTACATCCTATGGGTGACTCCAAGCACATACCTTCTGGAAAAGGCAAAACTATGGAGAAGACATCAGGCCAGTGGCCGCCCGGGGCTGGGGGAGGGAGGCTGCGGAGCGGCGAGTTCCGGGACTGCAGCTGCTCCGCTCCACCACACTGGGGACTCACGTTTTGTGGATTTGTTAAAACCAAGGAGGCCCGGCAGCAAGACTGAGAGTTAATGTGAACTGTACACTTCCGTTACCAATCAGCTGGCAAGACGGGCTCATCAACCGCAGCCAGTGTACCAGCAAGATGTTCACAACGTAGGGAAACGGGATTGGAGGGGGAGTGTGGAAACTCTGTACCTCCTACGTAACTTCTGTAAACTAAGACCGCTCTAAGAGATGAACTCTATTTGAGGCCGGGCGCGGTGGCTCACGCCTGTAATCCCAGCACTTCAGGAGGCTGAGGTGGGAGGACCACTTGAGAGCAGCAGTTTGAGAGCAGCCTGGCCAACATGGTGAAAAACCCCATCCCTACTAAAAACACAAAAATTGCCCAGGCGTGGTGGCGGGCACCTGTAATCCCAGCTATTTGGGAGGCTGAGGTGGGAGAATGGCTTGAACCCAGGAGGCGGAGGTTACAATAGCCAATACTGCACCACTGCACTCCAGCCTGGGCAACAGAGCGAGACTCAGTCTCAAAAAAAAAAGAAATGAATTCTATTTAAATAAGATCAAAGGCAAACAATTCAACAGAAGCTTCATAAAGACAAAAAAATGGCCAACAACCACATGAAAAAGGACTCAACTGCATTCATCATCAGAAATGCAAACAAAAATGTGGCACCGCCACGTGCCCGTGACGTCACTGAGTGCCGGCAAGGATGCGGAACAAGCACAGCTCACCCACGCTGCTGATGGAAGTGTGAAGCGTATGACCGCCTTGGGAAAAGGCCACTAAACACGCAGCTCTGACCTACCTACTCCACTCCTAGGTATTTACACAAGAGAAACAAAAACGGGGCTGGACGCCGTGGCTCACGCCTGTAATCCCAGCACTTTGGGAGGCTGAGGCCAGCAGATCACCTGAGCCCAGGAGTTCAAGACCGGCCTGGGCAACACACTGTGACCCTGTCTCTACAAAAAATCCAAAAATTAGCCAGGTATGGTGACAAACACTTATTGCCTCAGCTACTCAGAGGCTGAGGCAGGAGGACTGCTTGTGCCAGGAGGCTGAGGTTGCACTGAGCTGTGACTGCACCACTGCACTCAGACAGGGCCATGGAGTGAGACTGTCTCTAGAAAGAAATATGTCCAGAAAAAAAATTGTAGAAGAACATTCACAGCAGCTTCATTCAGAACAGCCAAAAACAGGCGGCAACCCAGGCATCCATTAATACAAGAGTGCTCTGGCTTATATTCACACAGCAACACCCCTCAGCAAACCGAACACCGTGGATGCCTCTGAAAATCACATCTGCCGGACACAGGGGTTCACACCTGCAATCTCAGCACCTTGGGAGGCCAAGACGGGCAGTCGCTTGTGGCCAGGAGTTCGAGACCAGCCTGGCCTTCATAGCAAAACGCTGTCTCTACTAAAAATACAAAAGATTAGCAGAACGTGGTGGCATGCACCTGTAGTCCCAGCTACTTGGAAGGCTGAGGCATGAGAATCACTTGAACCCAGGAGATAGAGGTTGCAGTAATCTAAGATTGAACCACTGTACTCCAGCCTGGGCAACAGAGCAAGATTCTCTCTCTCTCTCACACACACACACACACACACACACACACACACACACACGCATGTCAAGTGACAGAAAAGGGCACAGACCATATGACTCCATTTACAGAGCATTCCAGAACAGGCACACCTGTTCTGCTCAGGAAGGAAAGAGAACGTGCAGTTGTCTCTCGCGGGGCTGGGACTGCTAGAAGGGGCACGAAGCCCGTCCACAGAGCCTGCTCTGGCCTGACAGATGACCAGGTGCAGAGGTGTGGCTGATTCTCAGAACTCTCCAGATGGAGCAGTTAGGGCCTGTGCATCTCACTTTAAGCCAGCTTCACCTTCAAGGGAGAAAAATAACCGGGAACGATCCTCCCGTCTACTCAGTGGAAGGTCTGCCGGCGGAAGAGCTGTGGGCAGTACAGAACCGGGAACGATTCCGCCAGCTGGGGCCTCTTTTTGCCTCCCTCCTGGCCCCTGCCACGCTTTGCCAGGTGGCCTCTGGTCAGTGCACCTGAGTGCCAGTTGGAGGAGAGATGCGTGAGCACGAAGGAGGGCACCATTCTCCAGCATGGCAGAGGCACGCGAGGCTCCCATCAGCGGCTGACACTGCCCAGAAATGGTCCAGTTACAATGGTGCAGCCCCGCACCCTGCTGTGGAGCCTCTATACGGCCCTGGCCCCAGGACCCAACCAGGCTTCCCCACTTCCTCGCTTGGCCGACACAACGAGGGCCACTGCCCCATGAAGAGCACAGGGAAACTGAGGCCGCCCACACCACCTGCCTGGTTGCACAATGCGTGCAGGGAGGAAAAAGTACAGATGGGTCCTCACTCAAACAAACACATTTTCCTTAAGTGGAAAAGTTTAGAGATTTAAATAAGACAGAACCAAAATGTAAAAGAACAAGATATTTCTCTCAAGTCTTACCTAGAAATGTTTTTACTAGATATGCCAAGAGAGAAGCCAGAGAAACTGCCCTTATATATAAGCCCCATAGAAAGGGCTGTGTCCACAGGTCAGCAGTGGAGCTGCCAGCAGGGCCCGCCCCCCCCCGAGTGGACATCACCATTCCTGGCCCCATGGGACTGGAGAGAGGACCACAGTGCTAGGACAAGGAGAGAAACCCAAACCTTCTGGAGAAGACGTCCAGCTGTGCACTGGCTTGTGACTCAGCCCCCATCCAAGCGCCACCCGCCTTCTGCAGACCCCCACTGCTCTGAGTGCTCCCCACCAGCAGCCAACACCACTGGACATAGGAACCCACTGCCCAGCCAAAGCTCCAAGGATAGCAGCAGCCGCAGCCCCGCCCCACCCTGAATGCAGGGCCCACCCAAAGCTCTGAGGATACAGCAGCCCCAGCCCCGCCCCACCCTGAACACAGGGCCCAGCCAAAGCTCCGAGGATAGCAGCAGCCCCAGCCTCGCCCCACCCTGAACGCAGGGCCCACCCAAAGCTCTGAGGATAGCAGCAGCCCCAGCCCCAGCCCCGCCCCACCCCGCCCAGGACAGGGCCTGGTAGCACTCAGCACTCAGTGCCCAACCAAGCACCCACATGGGAGCCTGGCAGGCAGGCGTGCCTGGACCGGGCTCTGAGGGACGCTGGCTTGGAGTGGGGCCACTCATCCCAGAGCTCAGATGCCCTCAGCACCCCCGAGAGCAGGCCCCATCAGGACCCAGGCCCAGGCCATGAGCAGCCCTGCCCCCCTCAAACTCCCCAGGGACCACCCTGCTCCTCCACCTGGAGGCATGGCAGAGAGGAGGTACTCTGGGAGTCCCTGAGTGACTGATTCGGGGTGGAAGACCTGCTGGCCTTTATTCTTATAATAAAGCAGTGGCTCACGCCTGAAATCCCAGCACTTTGGGAGGCCAAGGCGGGCAGAGCACCAGCTCAAGAGATCAAGACCATCCTGGCCAACATGGTGAAACCCTGTCTCTACTAAAAACACAAAAATTAGCTGGGCGTGGTGGTGGGCACCTGTGGTCCCAGCTACTCGGGAGGCTGAGGCCCCTCTCCAGACCCCTCTGGCCTCCAGGGAAGAGCCCGTGTGTCACTGCTGGGCCTTGCCCACCCCCTGCACAGTGACCAAATCCCTGAGCCACTACTGGCTGCCCCCCCACAGTGAGCTCCTGTGTGCGGGACACCTCAAACAATCTAATGCCTCACTGCTGTGTTCATACACGGCCTCTGCAAGGTTCAGGACTACCCAGGTGCCTTCTCAGTGCTCCCTGCTCTGAAGACTGAGCTTCCCACACAGCTGGGAGCCTGGCTCTGACCCACCTGCACCAAGGATGATGACCTGCTGCCCAAGCAGCCACCTTATACTCCCAGCCCCGGGCTTTCGGGCACATCCATGCGACCGGGCACATGGATGGCCCCAGGAGGAGCTGAGGGGCATGGGGGTAAGGTGCAGTGTCTCAGCCTAGGCCTCCTTCCAGTTCTCGCCAATTCTAATGAGCTGTCATAGTCTGGGGGTGCCAGGCCAGAATGCCTAAGGACAGGAGTTCAAGACCAACCTAGACACCATAGTGAAACCCCATCTCCATTAAAAAATACATATATATGGCCGGGAGCGGTGCCTCATGCCTGTAATGCCAGCACTTTGGGAGGCCGAGGTGGGCAGATCACAGGGTCAAGAGTTTGAGACCAGCCTGGCCAATATGGTGAAACCTCATCTCTACTAAAAATACAAAAATTAGCCAGGCATGGTGGCGCGTGTCTGTAGTCCCAGCTACTCAAGAGGCTGAGGCAGGAGAATCACTTGAACCCAGGAGGCAGAGGCTATAGTGAACCGAGATTGTGCCACTGCACTCCACCCTGGCAACAGAGCAAGACTCCTCAAAAAAAAACCGAAAAACAAAAGACACACTGCTGCTCAGCCCAGCCCCTGCCAGCCTCTCCTCTAAGAGCCAGCAGCCTGGCCACAGAAAGGGCCAGCCTAGCGCCATGAGATCCTGTTCTCACCCACCGCCCACAGGCACTCAGTCACCACAGTCCACAGCCGCAGGCACTCAGCGCCCACCTGGCTGCAGCCCACTCAGCAGCAGGACCCCACCTGCTCAGACCAGAGGGCGGCCCAAACCACAGGGGACATGGAGACAGCACCCAAGGCACGGCAGGTCCACGGGTGGGAAGAGTCCAGGGCATGACTCCCAGGGACCCACAGAACCCTGGCTCTGCACACCCAAGGGCTGTGTGAGGAAGGCAGGTGCCCAGCTCCCCAATTCTTTAATCCAGTAAAGAAAACCCCAAATTCAGAAAGCCCGGCATCAACTGAGACAGTCCCTCCCATAAGGTGTTTTTCAATTCAAGTCAAACATCAAATTACTGCAACTACCAAGTCCCAATATTTGAGGGGAGCCAACTAAGCATCAAGACGGGGCCCTCCGAGAGGCTCCCAAACCAAAGGATACGCGGCGTGCCCTCCGTGCGGCAGACCAGGTAGAGGCAGGCAGCGATCACGTGGGCCATCTTCCGGCCACGGGTCAGGTGCCGGCTCACAGCCATCTTGAAGAAGTTGAAGGCGGTGTCCAGGCAGTGCTGGTTCAGCTGCAGCTGGTTCCCCAGGTGGTGGATGTGGCGCCGCCCTAGGACACAGCGCGAGCAGCTCTTAGTAAACGTTCCGGCAGAACATGGCACGGACCACAAGCCCGCGGTCGCAACTTAAGAATATAGATTTGTGCTTTTCCTCGTAAGTGTCTGAGCTCACTTTCTGTGTGTGGGTTCCACTTTTTATTTATGGACAGTAAAATGTGACTTTCCTGTGACCTCCACGTGCCATGGGATGCTGTTCCCTAGGTTCTGGGTAGTGTGTACAGTGTGGCTGAATGTGCCTCTCTCCAGGGATCCGAGGTGCAGTGTGTCTGCCAAGGGCTCAGTTTGAGCTGGCTGGCCAGTACGACGCCCCTGACTGCCCTGGGCTGCAGTGGGAAAGCCCCTTTTCCTACAGCCACATGTCCCAGTGCCACCTCTCCTTCCCCAACTGCAGGGAGGCCAGGTCAGCCCACCCCTCCCTTTGTCAGCAGGGCCCACTCTGCTCAGCCCAGCCCCAGCCAGCCTCTCCTCTAAGAGCCAGCAGCCTGGCCTGAGAAAGGGCCAGCCTAGCACCACCCCCTGCACCTGCCCAAAGGGAGGGCCATGGCAAGGGCACGCCCAGACCAGAGGGCACTGGACCCTCCTAGGGGCTGTGAGGTGCTGGAGGTGGCTGGGACTGCAGCATCCGAGCGCACACACCTCCTTGGAGCAAGACCTTCCCAAAGCTGCAAGCCACAGACGATGGCATCAGGAGGGGAGTGGTGGAGGTGCCCCGTAGGCAGGAGGATCCTCAGGAAACAAAACCCAGTGCAGAGCCCAGGCCCGAGCACAGGCTGCATGGGGAGCGCCTGGATCAACCTCACAAAACCCAGTGCAGAGCACAGGCCCGAGCACAGGCTGCATGGGGAGCGCCTGGATCAACCTCACAAAACCCAGTGCAGAGCACAGGCCCGAGCACAGGCTGCGTGGGGAGCGCCCGGATCAACCTCACAAAACCCAGTGCAGAGCACAGGCTGCATGGGGAGTGACTGGATCAACCTCACAAAACCCAGTGCAGAGCACAGGCCTAAGCACAGGCTGCGTGGGGAGCACCCCGATCAACCTCACAAAACCCAGTACAGAGCACAGGCGCCCAGCACAGGCTGCGTGGGGAGCGCCTGGATCAACCTCACAAAACCCAGTGCAGAGCACAGGCCCGAGCACAGGCTGCGTGGGGAGCGCCTGGATCAACCTCACAAAACCCAGTGCAGAGCACAGGCTGCATGGGGAGTGCCTGGATCAACCTCACAAAACCCAGTGCAGAGCACAGGCCCGAGCACAGGCTGCGTGGGGAGCGCCTGGATCAACCTCACAAAACCCAGTGCAGAGCACAGGCTGCATGGGGAGTGCCTGGATCAACCTCACAAAACCCAGTGCAGAGCACAGGCCCGAGCACAGGCTGCGTGGGGAGCGCCTGGATCAACCTCACAAAACCCAGTACAGAGCACAGGCGCCCAGCACAGGCTGCGTGGGGAGCGCCTGGATCAACCTCACAAAACCCAGTGCAGAGCACAGGCCCGAGCACAGGCTGCGTGGGGAGCGCCTGGATCAACCTCACAAAACCCAGTGCAGAGCACAGGCTGCATGGGGAGTGCCTGGATCAACCTCACAAAACCCAGTGCAGAGCACAGGCCCGAGCACAGGCTGCGTGGGGAGCGCCTGGATCAACCTCACAAAACCCAGTGCAGAGCACAGGCCCGAGCACAGGCTGCGTGGGGAGCGCCTGGATCAACCTCACAAAACCCAGTACAGAGCACAGGCGCCCAGCACAGGCTGCGTGGGGAGCGCCTGGATCAACCTCACAAAACCCAGTACAGAGCACAGGCGCCCAGCACAGGCTGCGTGGGGAGCGCCTGGATCAACCTCACAAAACCCAGTACAGAGCACAGGCGCCCAGCACAGGCTGCGTGGGGAGCGCCTGGATCAACCTCACAAAACCCAGTACAGAGCACAGGCGCCCAGCACAGGCTGCGTGGGGAGCGCCTGGATCAACCTCACAAAACCCAGTACAGAGCACAGGCGCCCAGCACAGGCTACGTGGGGAGCGCCTGGATCAACCTCACAAAACCCAGTACAGAGCACAGGCGCCCAGCACAGGCTGCGTGGGGAGCACCTGGATCAACCTCACAGCTCCACTCTGTCTGCAGTGCCATAGGCAGGCAGAGTCCATGGGCAGGCAGAAAGTGTCATAGGCAGGCAGAAAGAAGCCCAGTGGGGTACCCAGGACACATGGTAGGTCAAGGCTGGACTCAGAGGAAAGCTGCCACCATGGAGATTCTAGTTCGTACTACATCCTCCGGCACCCAAACCCATAGTCCTGCAAAGACTACCCAAGGCGGCCGCCATCCCCACACAAAGTCAAAAACTGACCTCCCAGATTTAATTCGGGCTCACAGGCTGGAGGAGGCGAGGGATGCTCTGCTCACGCCACACTTCACTGACGATGACAAGCAGCCAGAGGTGGGCAGCTGCTGAGCCTAAACCCCAAGGAAGCTGGTGGCCAGGGTACACAGTCTGGTGGGTCTGGGTCAAGCCTCACACTCTGCCAGGCCCCTGGCAGTCAGCAGTACCACACGGAGCCTAGCCCTGCTGTGGCCCTGCCACCTTGAGCACCCACAGCCGCCTGGCTGGAGTTCATGGAGCTCTGAGGCCTGCAGTCCAGTTCCACTGACATGGAAGGCTGGTCACTGTCTCCAGAGCTGAGGCCTGGGCAGAGCCAGGACCCCAACACAAAGGACAAAAAGGCCGCAGTTCTGGCTGCTGCCTGCACATGACCAGCACAGACTATCCCCAGAGGGAAACAGAGTCAGCTGATGGGTGACCCGCTGAAGCTACAGCTCCTTACCTACCAGCTCTCTGGGGCATGTTTGGAAAATTCCGTAACAAAAGGTGAGAGAGAGGTCCTCTCTAGAGGCCACACACGTGAGGCTGGTACTGGATTGGATCCCAAGCCCCAGCCCCACAGGCAGCAGCTCATGTTCCCATGCGAGAGTGCTATGATCTGAATGTCTGACTCCTCCTAAAATCCTGTGTTGAAATCCTGCCCCTATGGGGATGGTACTGAGGCAGGGCCTGTAGGGGTGGTGAGGTCAGGAGGCAGAGCTGATGATGAGTCAGTGCCAGCTCAGCCCTTCCGCGGTGAGGCCACAGTGAGAAGGGCCGTGAGCTGGGAAGAGCTCTCACTAGGGAGCTGAGGAGGAGGCAGCTGTCTCCTCCACCTCCATTTCCATCTCGGACTTCCCATTCCTGCCGTTCCTGCTGTTTCATCTGCTGGTCTGTGGTGTCCTGTCACAGCAGCCCAAAAGGAGCTGGGGCTCACGATGACTGCAGTAAGCTATTCCCATCTTCCTTCAATACAACGCACGTACGTAAGAGTTACCGTCTGAAAGCGCACAACCCCATGGTGTGAGCGCAGTCACAGGGCTGTGAGGCGATCGCAACCCTGCACATTTCTCATCAGCCAGAAAGAAACTCCATCCCGTCACACTCTCTCCCTCCCACAACCCCAGTAAGTTTTTAACTCATGAGCTGGGCAAGCATCTTTAGCAAACTGAATAAATAACCACCTAAGGCACGTGTGCAGTCTGCAAATGCACAAAGATGTTATTAACAGACACGAATAACATAGAAACCAGCTACTAATTAGCCTGTGAGTCGCCTCAGACTTCCAACAAAGGAATTCCAAAAGTAAACTCGGGCCACACAGCGTAGCTCATGCCTGTGGTAACCTCAGCACTTCGGGATGCCGAAGAAGGTGGATCACTTGAGCCCAGAAGTTCAAGACCAGCCTGGGCAACACAGTAAGACCCAATGGCTAAAATAAATAAATACCTAGATAAGTAAATAATCAGCTGGGTGTGGTAGTACAAGCCTGTAGTCCCAGCCAATGTAGGAGGACTGCTTGAGCCTGGAAGGTTGAGGCTGTAGGGGCCATAATTTCGCACTGCAGTCCAGCCTGGGCAGCAAGTGAGTGAGACCCTGTCCTCAAACAAACAGGAACAAAAAGGAAAAGATCTGAGGCACATCACCACCTAAATGAAAGTATGAAGCAATAAAGCTTCCAGAGGAACACACAAGAGAGTATCTTCAGTCCTTGGAGCAGGTAAGAATCTCTTACACTAGTCACAGACAGCCCTAACCATAAAAACTAATATACTAGGACTTCATTAAAATTAAGACATTTCTAGCCAGGTGCAGTGGCTCACATCTGTCATCCCAGCACTTTGGGAGGTCGAGGTGGAAGGACTGCTGGAGCTCAGGAGTTAAAGGCCAACCTGGCCAACATGGTAAGACCCCCATCTCTATTTTTAGAAAACGTAAATATTAGTGGATGTGGTGGCATGTACATGTGCTCCCAGCTACTCAGGAGGCTGAGGTGGGAGGATGGCTTTAGTCTGGGAGACTGAGGCTGCAGTGAGCCATGACTGCACTACACTCCAGCCCGGGCGACTGAGTGAAACCCAGAAAAAAAACAACCAACAAACAAAAAAACAAATTAAAAAAAAGAACAAAAGGAAAAAAAATTTTTAAAAACCCAGTCGTTAAAAAATTCTGTTCATCAAAAGACAACATGAAGAGAGTGAAAAAACAAGCTGTAGACGTGGGAGGTGGTTTCGAAACACATATATCCATCAAAGAACTGAAATCCACAACACGTAAACACGTCTATCCATCAGAGAACTGAGATCCACAACACGTAAACACGTCTATCCATCAGAGAACTGACAACCACAACACGTAAACACGTCTATCCATCAGAGAACCGAGATCCACAACACGTAAACACGTCTATCCATCAGAGAAGCGAGATCCACAACACGTAAACACGTCTATCCATCAGAGAACCGAGATCCACAACACGTAAACACGTCTATCCATCAGAGAACCGAGATCCACAACACGTAAACACGTCTATCCATCAGAGAAGCGAGATCCACAACACGTAAACACGTCTATCCATCAGAGAACCGAGATCCACAACACGTAAACACGTCTATCCATCAGAGAACCGAGA